GAACACAACCACAGCAGAGCCCTGTGGCTGTCAGAAGCATCAGCTCAACCATGTTTCTGCCCATGATTTCCTCTAATCTTCTCTGAACAAGATGGCTCTGTACTGTACATGACACAGTTCCAACAAGAAAAGACCACAACACTTATGATGTAGCTCTGTAGACAAAAGCTTGTATATCAGGCCAAACATACTGGGTATAACTCCCAGCACTACAAAAGAGATTAGTAAGGGTAATCTATATTGTGAGAAACTAAACACTTACATAAGATGAATATTCAGAATATCATATTTGTCACTAATTTCAGAAGTACACATATAAACATTTTCAGCTGATCATTTAATGAAGATACCCAAAGATTGTATCCACTGTTAACACTGAACAAGATGTTGACATGTTCCTACATACCTAAGGGGAGTTGATTAAGCTTACTGCCCAGACCTGTTAATAACATGCAATTTCTTGACAATCTGTCCTCTTTGCTCTTGCTTCCCATTTTTGTAAACACCAAGACTTAATAACAAATTATGAAATCATTTCCTCTTTTATGAAGTTTACTAAAGAAAAGAGATTGAAGTAATTGCATATTAACTTAGCAAATTGGTTTTATAACCAAATCATTGCAACATGAAAGACCATGTCACTAACAATTACATAGTGACTGATTCACAAAAACCATACTATTCATTTCAATTAATAAAATATTGCTCAATAAAAAAAAATATGTTTAGAGGATGTTTACACTCATTTCATTTAAATGTCAAGGCTGTAATAGCCACAGAAGACATAACTTCCTTAAGAATATGTTCTTCAGAGGTATGTAACTTCACTAGATTACTGGAGATTCAGGTTTCTAGACAATTCGTATTTTGGTGCTTCTGAATATAACATTATTTACAAGGTTCACAGGAAACAACTATTTTAATAGGTAAGTTACAACAGTACTGTTGCTGACTCCAACTGAGAAGGCATCTCTTGTTTTAACAGCTAATAACCACCTGGCACAGCTCCCAAAGCTTTTTCAGGAATAACTCAGTTCATGACAAAGGGGTCTCAGAACTGGAGATGGCTACAACACAGGGGTAGATATCTTCAAGAGAAAATTAGGAGTGTGACGAAAGAGAGTCCACGAGGTTGCTTATTCACCTCTCACATGGGTAAAAGCATCAGCTGTCGGACAGATCCTCACATAGGCTAGTAAGCCTGACATCTGGAGTATAGATGCAATCAGATCCAGAAATGTGGTCCTGAGATCTGAACTTAGTGAGGATCTCAGCAAGACTCCAATCTTCATTCCTCACCTGTCAGACTAACTCTTTAAACTCTAACAAGAGACTGGCTATATCCCTTAGTAGTAATTTCTTCCCACTGACAAACTTAAAACTAGGGATGGAATCATCCCCACCCTACTCTAATTTAGTCACATCTGAGTGTTTGTTTACTTCCTTAGACAACAACAACCATGACTGGGATCAAGATTTCCATGGAATATGACTCTTATGTACATAGTGTGTCTACACATTGTGGGGACTCCTCATCTAGCTGTTAAATGTTCATAAAGCCATTATTACAACAAAAGCCTCATGTGGTAAGTTTTCCTCTGCCACCTGATACAAATATTTCAATTAAGACAAAAGAGAATTCTCAAGTCCATTTAACCTGTACTCAGTTTCCAGTTAAATCTAGACTTGGACCAATTAAAGGAGTACCCTACCCACCACTGAGGCAACCATGAAGGCTTGCCTTCCAAAAGCACTCTGGAGATTCTCAGAGAAGAGAGGTGAGGGATGTTGTCATGCAAGAGAACACTGTTTCAGAACACTGAGAGTGAGAAATGTTCAGATATGGTAACATTTGTGAGAGGTAATGGGACAGGGCCTCCAGCACCCAAGTAATACTTGGGTGCTCTAACAGCACTTGATCTCTGATTAGTTGTACCAACGAAGTCTACCTTTTCAACACAGAATCAGAAAGTGTGAATTCCACTTCCTGCTCTGCCAATAATTAATAGTTTGCATACTATTTGCTGTCAAAGCTGAAACACATTCTGGCAGCCCTGCCCTGCAAACACTGTGATGAGCATTTTCAACAATCTGACATGACCAAATCTTAATGGTTCTTTAGCTGGCAGTGATGGTGGTGGGTGAATAGGAGTTTGTGCTTAATGTTTAAAAATTTATAAGTCTTTCCATTGTCTCCTGTTATGATGTTGTTGTTGTTTATAACAAGAATGCACCTAGGCATGTGGCTCAGTTCATAAAGTACTTGCTAAGCATATACATGGCTCTGGGTTCAATCACCAGCAAAGCATAAACTGGGCACCTCTAATTCCAGCACTAGGAAGTGGAGGTCAGATGTTCAAGGCCATCCTCAAATACATGAGGAACTTGAGGCTGAGCTACATAAATTGTTTCAAAGTGGCAGAAAATATATTCAGGATTAGGTGTGATGTTGAAACTTCATAAGACATGGCAAATGGATTAAACATGACTAGTCTAGGTCCACATATTTACTTAACAGCAAGGCAAAAAGCAAGATAGACAGTGTTTCCTATTTCAAATGATACTCTCAGTCTTAATGTAGAATTCACTAAAACTGACCATCTGTAGCTAAATGCAAAGACAACAGGGAAATCAACTTTTATGATTTACGGTTGTATGCAGCTACTCCAAGATAAAGAGAAAGAACTGTACAATCCTATTACTAAGAAACATATAAAAACTTGTCCTCAGAAATTATGTCAGGCTATTATTACATCCAAAACAACTGACCATCACTGACAGATCCATTAAGACAAGGCAAGGATTTATTTGTTTGGTTGTTGAAATTTCCTGGTCTGCACATTTTAGAATAAATTACATTTTCACTGGTCTCACTTCCTCTAATAGTTATAAAGAAACAAAAAACAATTACATAGAGAAGTGTCCCAAGTAAGTAGTGGAATATGTCAAAACAGCCCAGGCTATCAAGTTATAACTGTGACTATGCACAAAGTCTAAGGAAAAAAGCAAACAACACGTAAGATCATATGATTTGAGGCCTAGATTACACTTAATAGAAGGATGGCTACATCCAAGAAAACTTGGCAGTTGGTTCTTAAAAGTCACTAGTAACCATTTCCAAGATGAGCTTGTGTCCTTCACTGTAACTATTTTCAGTAGTTCAGATGAAGTACTGCGATGTCATCAAGTAAGCTATACAAGGCAAACATGACCACACACAGTAAACATGAAAATAGTAATCTTTCAATCCCAGACAGTTTCTATGTCATGTGCAGGTATGTTTTGGAGAAAAAAAATTTTTTCAGAGTACGGACTACATAAAAAAACGTCTAAGAGAATGTATTAAAAAAATACTAAATACATTTTAACTCCAATCTCTCTAAGATTTGAATATCACATACATCACCAATGTCCAGAATGCAAAGATTACAAATGAGCAGCACTTCTAAATGTACGTGATCACTAATTAGTTTTATATAGATCATGGCAATAAGCAGTGTGGCACAAATACCTCAGGGAAAAAACATTCATAACCTCCCTAATAACTGCTGTTTACATCACAGACATTTTTGCTACAATAGGAAGGTTTTTCATGTAATCAAACATACTGACACCTTGCTAAGCATTTTATAGTTGCTAGTTCCCATTCAGAAATAACACAACTCTCAATCTGCTTAAATCTATCATCTTCCTGTTAGAAGTCCACCGGGAGAGCTTCCTCACGAGGACAGACAATGAACACTTGACTTTCCGTATAAGAAAAATACTCTGTTCAGGTCTGGCTGTCTGTTGTTACAGAGGGATCTTTCCCTCTTGGTTCAGCAGAAGTCTCTGGCTATCCTCTGGACTAGCCAGGCAAGATGACTTCTGCCATATAGCCTCATTTAACGCTGAATACCAAATAGAAATTAGTCAGAGAAATAAGACAGCAACCTTAGGTAAAGGTGGGTAAGAAAACATGGTAATATTTTACAATTTAACTATTTTTACTCCCCTTTTCAGGCTTGAAAGACTGTCATAAAGAGCCTGTAAGGAACTGTTAGAAATGGCACTAAGTCCTGCACTGGCCATGAACCCTCTCCAGAAGCTAGTAAGTAGAAAAAGGGGACTGGCAAATACCTTACATCAGTCAAGACTTCTACACAGGGTAGCATGGATCAGACCTAGGTATCTCGTTTTACAGTTTTTTCCTACGTAATAGAAACATTTCCTCTCCCACTTGTATGTGGTGGGAACAAATCATGGCTTCTGTGACCTAGTTCTCTGGCCAGGCAAACAAAAAGAGCAACTTCTCATCTTCACCTTTTCTGAGACAGCCTCTTTCAGGAAAAGTGTGAATTCTTTCTACACAGCTATAGAATCAGGTGACACAGGCTGGGAGGATAAAGCTCCTTGCTTATAGTAACAAGATGACAGTTAAAAGTATGAAACATGGTTGAAAGACTGATAGCACTCAATTCCTTCCTGCCATGGCTGTGACATCATAACACTCTAAGTACTCCCATAATAAACTCCTGGTATTTTACAACTTTGAAGCATCTGACATTTTACTTCCATTAGTACCCTACCCTAAAAGTGTCTGAACAGCTTTCTTATATCTTTCTATGCTATATACAGCACTTTCTCACCCTTTGGAGAAATTACTTATGGGAAAATTCAGATTCTCCAAAAGGTACACATAATAAATCACACTGGTAATTAAAGGATATTTCTAATAGGAAGCAGACAGAAGCCACAGTCACCTATCATCATAGACAGACATCAAGAGTTCATAAATAAGAAGTGAGGCAAAAGCAAGAGCCATCTGTCTGCATTGGGGCAATGGGGCCTTGACTATTTACCCATTCATACAAACTCTTCAGTCCCTTTTGATCATTCTCAGCTCCAAACTTAAGCTGTGTGTCGCTGCTATGAGAACTCAGGTATGAAGTAGCTGCTTCAGCAACATTTTTCACAGTGTCATTGACTAGTGGTTTTTAATGAGCCTCCATTGCACACACTTCTTCAACAACACATTTATTACTCCCACTCAGTGGTTCCCGGGGGCTTTGATGTTAGGTCATACATAATTCTAGAAATTCCAGGAATCTTCTTTATCTCAGTGACCATCTTTAGCACCACCTGTTTGCAAAACAAAGATTACAAGAAGAGTGAGAATCCACTGCATGTTCAATAATCCTACAGGGCTTATACTTGCACCTTAAAATTAAAATGAACTACTTTGGCTATTATTCTTCACATAAGAGGGATGGCTCTACATAAACTTAAGTAATCCAATTCTCCCTATAGGAACAGTGACTGAAAGTCAGTACTCCTCAAAGTATTTGACACTGCAATAGCATCCAAGCATGTCGCTTTATATGTTAATGCAATACTTCATAAATTATCTATGGCTTAAACATACAACTCCAACACTACGAAATATCACACAAAGCACTCTAATAATGACCTCTGTCAAGGACAGCTTGATCACTTGACTGCCTTGAAGATCTGACAAATGTGGCCTTAAGAAAAACAGATGCTAAACATTCCCCAACCTGCCACCCAGCAGGACCCTTCCTAAGCCCCATGTTAGTGCACTAAAAGAGTTCAACTAATTAAAGTCTCAGTTCAACTTTTCACCTGCTGCTGTATAAATAACTCCTTTGCATACTTTGGTAGAAAGATAAGGAAAGTGCTTAAAAAAAAAAAAAGAGGAATTGTAGGGTTCCATTGCTAGAAGTGTTTGCCTAGCATGCATAAGACCCTCTAGGTTCAATCCCCATCAAGGTGGTACATGCCTAGAATCCCAGCACTTAGGAAAAAACAGGAGAATCAGTTCAATATCATCCTCATCTAGAGGTTCAAGAACAGCCTAAGATACATAAGACTCCATCTTTAAATTAAAAAATATAATTGTTAATACCATCAAATCTCATTCTTATTTCTTAAAAAGCCCAACTCCTAGGACTATGTCCTTTAAGAAAACTATTTATAGCAGTTAAAGTCAGTGGGACTCGTTTACTTTCTTTGTAATAATCAGAATGAGCAGACATCAGGAAGTGTATTAGATTTTAAAGTCCCTTTCAGCTATACTATTAAGTGGAGGCAGAAAGGAAAAATGAGAGAATCAATTTTATAAAGAATCAAGCCAAAAAACATAAACTTTGTCACAGCCTATCTGTGACACTGTACTATGTAGTATGAGACACTGACAGGTATATTAGAAAAAGTATCATAAATTACCTCTACAGGAATCTCATTGCCAGGTGTTGCAGGTATACCAGTCATGAAGTCACTAGTAATAAAGGTTCGAATAACCACAGATCTCTGGCATGAAGGCTGCTTCTGAAGTGGATCTCGATCGAAATGTAATGGGGTCAAAATCACTGGCATCTGGCTGATTTTCCCAGCATACCCTAGAGAAAGGAACACATAGTGTTTATCATCACCACACTATGGGAAAATATTCTAAACTAGCTCAAGAAACCCCTACAAAGCATCTCCAGCATCTCTCCATCTTTCTCCTCCTACTACATGCAAACATTAAGACACTCATCACACATGAATTCAAATGCTCTTAAGCACTGAAAGTGAATGCAACAGGATTTTATGTAGATGTGATAGTTCAAATCTGTACTCTCAGCATGTGGGAGGCTGAGACAGAGACAGAGACTTCCAATGTGAGAGCTACCCAAACTGTATACTGAGAGCTCATCACAAAAGAAAATAAGGCAATATTGCAGCTATGAGAGACAAACACGAAGGGAGAATAAATTTTTGTTATCTAGGTAGTCCCACATTCTATACTGTAAACACCAGCCCACTTTTCCTAGAGGAAATATAAAGATAGGTTCCTATAAACCTCCAGTCAAATTTTAGTCTATGCAAAACCAAGCTAAAGTATATTTCTGTTTAAAGACACCTAATTTAAGATTTATTTTAGATCCATCAACATGGAACTCACAACCAATGGAACTATGACACCTGCCTTGACTTAATTTAACACACTGATCTTCAGATGAGGTACACCACACCTTTCTTGTGTTTAGGGGTCCAGCTATCACTTCAATAGAAAAATCATCAACAAAATCCCCTGAAAATGTTAAAAGTACAACAGCATGTAGGCAGCAACAACAACATTTGTCTGCAAGCTGAAACAAGAAGAGCACTGCTGTGGTCCACCTCAGCAGCTGGAAATAAATATATGGTGAGACACATTTGTTTTCTACTCTGGGTGTCTGTCTGTAAATGACCGCAAAGATAAATTAATTATATTTGAAAGGCAACATTATGGAACCTACCATAAGAAAAAGCAAAAGCTATATCCTACTACTAGAAATTAAGGTCAAACATCTGAAAATGTTGTTATAGTGTACAGTGATGACACAATGAGCCACTTACCAGACTCCCTGAGAATGTTATGGGCCTCAAAATCAGCTTGGCGCAAAGTACTGAGCACCCCCGTTGTCAAGAAAGTGGGAGTAACGTCTGTAGGAGGTTCTTTAACTGGTGGGCCAAAGATATAGACAACTCTAGATGAAAAAACATCAGAGAAAACATTCTAATGTGAGAAATTGTGGTTGGGACTTTGGTTCACCTCAGTACAGTTCTGGGTTGCTTGTTCCCATGAATTTGGAAGTCTGGCTTTCCCAACTCTCTCCTTATCTTTTAATACACCAATCACACACACACACACACACACACACACACACACAAACAAGTACATTTCAAGTTTTTGTAGCAAACTAAAGACAAAAGAAGTCTAAGCAATTCATGTTGGTTAAGCAAGTAATATTCATGAGAAAACTGGAAAGAAAAAAACTATAAAACAGGACTTAATCAGCACTTCTGAAACTAAACTGAGTTTTTTTTAGTAAGAAGTGTTAAATATCCTCTATTTGATATTACATACAAACCACACTACACTAAACTGCCTTTCTGTATGTAAGAGTAAGAACTTTGAATTCAGGGGATTCTAATTAAATTGGCATAGTCAAGAATAATACAGACAGATGCTACCTCACCTTTAACCATTGCCTGTGACAGGCTAATCATCACAGACAGACACACAGGTTCTGAGACAGTGAGACTTCCCAAGGATTAGTAAGCACATTGACATAACCATGACAGAAACTTGAATATTACCCAATCTAAGATAACATCCTCTATCTTTGTGATGAGGTGAGTATCAGAAGTCCAGACTCCTCTTACAAAAAGAATAATAGTATTTATGGAAGTAAGATTGCTACTTTGAGAGATCACATTCACTTTACTGTAAGCCAATTTTACTTAAATCTGTCAAATGAAAATTGTCCTGTAAGCTTTTTATGATCTGAACTCTAGTATGCAAACTACATTATGGTAAACATTAAAAGAAATGTGATATTTATTTTGTAATAAACAGTGGCTCTTATTCATTAGTAGCCCTTTTTACAATAAACTCCATAATTCCAGCAGCCACTACTGCTGTTCCAAGGTTGTACTGATGGGATTCTCAAAGTCCTATGGTCTGTCATGGCTTCCTAAACAAACAGATCATGGAGAATAAATCTAACCGAATTATTCTCTCTCTTTTTCACAGTACAGCATTGCACAATTCCAAACAAAGATTTTCCTGCCTTTCTCAACATTACCCAATTTAAATTTGCTTTCCAATAGCCAACACCACAAACATCACTGGTCCAAAGCCACATACCTAGTTCTCTAGCCCAAGTATACACCAATTGCTGCTGTCTTTGTTAGGGTTTCCAATACTATGATAAAACATCATAACTAATGGCAACTTGGGGAGGGAAGGGATTATTTCATACACTTCCAGGTAACAGTTCATCACCAAAGGCAGGCAGGGCAGGAACTCAAACAGAGATGAAGCCAAAACATAGAATATTAAATATTCCCCTAACCATAACCAAAGCACAAGAAAAAGGCAAGTTAACCAACATGCATAATTACTACAAAGAGCTGACACTACAGAATCATTCTCCCTCATCTGTTATCTCTTACATACATGTACATCAAGCCTTTTAGTCTTTCTTTAACCAAAGACCTTAAAATGCACATCCTCCATTATACCATCCACACACACCCAACTCCTCTGACACATGCAGAAGATACCTGTTAATGTTATGACACATTCGGGGTATAAGTTTGGCAAGGAAAATAAGAGATTCCCAGTCAGGTTCATCTTTACTGGAAATTCCACACACATAACTGTAGGAACGACAGTCACCCTGAAAAATAGAAATATCAATTTTTAACAGTTAAAAGATGGGTTAGAAACTATTTTCTACAGTGACACTATTAGTAGTAATTTGTCTTGCTTTTTAAAACATATATATAAAATATATTCTAGATATCTGTCTAGTGATACAAGTAAGTCCCAAATTAAAACACCCTTTATTAAAAATTACCTTGCTGGGTGGTGGTGGTTCATACCGTTAATGACAGAGAGGTGGAGGGAGATGGACCTATGTGAGCAAGTGCCAGGGCAGGCTCTAAAACTACACAGAGAAGCCCTGTCTCAGCGGCAAACAACAACAACAAAAATTCAATCTGGATCAAGTTAGGAACAATTATTGGATATTTCAAGAACTTATATGAAACGTGTCAGAGGTCTACTTGGATGTCATTCCAAATGGCTGCCCAACTATGGCAAACCAGTACATTTAGCTTAGTACATAAGTCTTTTGTTTAAAAGTAAATTTAAAATACTTAGCTATTGGAAGCAACTGAACTATTCAATTGAACTGATTAAGAAAGTGACCTCCACACAATGAATGCTATTCAGCCATTAAAAAAAAAATTTTCCTTTGTAACAAACAGTAAGAGTAAAACTGAATATCTTTATATTATATGAAGATGGGCACCAAAAGATTAAGTACCACATGATCACACTCATAGAATCTTAAATGTTTCTCTTACAGAAACTGAGAGTACAATAGTGGTGCAAGAAGGGAGCTTCAAGAAGGTTAAGGAAGGGTTGATCAAGGATATAAACTCACAAAGTTAAAGTTGAATAACCCGAATACATAGAAATAGTAAAATGTTTCAAGAGCAGATTTGAAATACAATATGCATGTGTATCAAAACATGGCAGTAGCTGGGCATGGTGGCAAGAAGGCAGTAATCCTCCACAGCACAGATCTGTACTTGAGAGAGAATTCCAGAACATCGTATGACGTACAATGAAGAACCTAAGAGAGGGTGGAAGACCCTGCCTAGACCAATTCCAAAGTATAGCGGCGTACCACACCTGCTTAAGAACAGGAGACATAGTCCACATGCTTTAGTGCTTCACCTCCCATGTGCAACTACTCTTCTCCAAACTGAAACCAAGACTGATAATCCAATACTTCATCTTCCTAAAATGACTTTTGTTGGGGCTGGGGGGGAAACCTCCAGGGGCCACAGAGTTATAGGGCATCTTGAATAGAGTGACAGAATCTGTTCGGGTTCTCTGGAATATTTTTTATCTTTATTTTTTTATTTGTCCACGGTGCTTCCATTTTTTCTTTTTACTTTTAGTAGACATTTTTAATACCCTTTTTTCAAGGAATTATTTATTTGTTCCTTTTAAAGACTTGTTTTTAACTGGACTCGATCTTTGAAGTAGAAGCTCTTCAGCGAGGACAGGCTACATTACATCTCTTGCAATCTGTTCCTGGTGTTTTTCTTTGGCTTCATTCTCTTAGCCAAAAGTTTAGCATATTTTGCAGGTTCCTTATTTTTCTTAGTGCATTGTTTCTTCCGAGAAGTGCATTAGCACTTGTGTTGCAGGACACATGCAGTGATATGACAATACATTTTGGGTACTTTGGTCCTGGGCTTCTTACCTTGTTTGTTTAAGGGCCTTCTGACAACATATTGTTGGACATCAACTTCTTTGCAGAGATAAAGAGCTTTTGGATCTTGCTAGTTCTTTTGAACCCTAACTGCCAAGGCACAATAGTATGTCAGTCCAGGAATATACTTCTCTCTCTTTTTTTAACACAATAACCAAGATGAGAACACTCAGATTAGCATCCACAATGCATCTGCAAACAGACTTGCATTTCCCCTCTTCGGTTCACCTTGGTCTATAACAAGAATGCATCTTACTCAACAACTAGCACACTTTGCTGTGAGTCAAGATAACATGCTTCATGAAAAGACCTCATTTGCCATTCCCACCACTGACTCAGACCACGTAATCCTTCCACTCTTCTCTAGAGCATCAGCAGCTGCTTCTGTGGTCATGCGCCTCTCATCGACTATATGACGCTTTCACTCATTGTCCACTTCAGCCAATGGAAGGGAAGGATATATTCAGCTTCATCTTGACATAGCCAACTGCCTAGGAAGTTCCACTAAAAAAGCTGTATCTTCTATTTTTGTCCCTGTGTTTTATAGTAGTTTTTCCAATTTTGTTTCACTGGGGTTCAGGCTTGTTATTTCTTTGCTTTTATGAACCCCCCACACCTCAACAAGGTTTCTCTATATAGCTTTGGCTGTCCTATAGACAAGGCTGGCCTCAAACTCCAGAGATTCAGATTAAAGGAGAGGACCACCACCACCCAGTCTTTTGTTTTTGTTTGCTTGGGGTTTTTGTTGTTGTTGTTTGTTTTTTAGTTTCCCTCTTAGTTATATAAAATTGATCATGCATCTTTCCCCTCACTATTAGGAAATCTATTCTTGGTTTTTCTTTGCTGATTTTAAAAATACTCTTCTGTGCTTTTCCGCTTCACAACATTCTTCTCTATTTCTTATTTCTCTCTTTTATTTAACCTTACTTCTTTTGGTTTTCTCCTTTCCTTGCCTCTTTTTATCTCATTCACTATTTTTCCTTTACCCTAAATGATTTTAATTCCATGGCATACTATACAATAGTTTTACCATTTTTTCCCAGTTTTATCATCACTGAAGATATATTAATGGGCTTCACTCAAGTATAAATGTACTTTTATATATTGTACCATTTAATACAGATAATCAATAAGTAGTTTTTTCGTTCTCTAGGTGGTACTTAGAATAGACTCAAGAGTAGGCTGTTCAATTAAGTGTGCTGGCATTTGTTTATAATCCCAGCATTTGCAAGTAGAGATAGGAAATGGCTGTATTTCAACTACAGCCTCCATTACATAGTCTCTAAGGCCAGCCTGGACTTTATGAGTTCCTTAGTCAAAAAAAACAAAAAACAAAAAACACAAAGACAAAACAAACTAGGCTGGCTATTCAAGGCAAGCTGATGGAATTCCATCTAGGACCCGGAGAGGGGGAAAAGTACTCAATGTAGAGAAAAAAAAAGAGCAGGAAAAGGGATGAAAAACTCAGCAATCATGTAGAAATATTCAATGAGGAACCAAATTGAAAACAAATTAGAAATGATGATCCAATACTGAAAAGATCCTAAAGACTATCACAATACTATCAGATCTGATCGACACTTTTGCAGAGTAACAGGATACAAAACCAACACATAAAAACCAGTAACTAAAAATAAACTTGTTGACAAGGAAATCAGGGATAGGGAGTAGGCCATAGGAATGACAATGATGACCCATTCACAGTAACTTCAAAAGAGCATAAATACCTAGGAACCAAACTAACCAAGAACATAAAGGATATCTATAATAAAAATTAAGGACCAAGGAACCAAACTAACTAAGAACATAAAGGATATCTATGATAAAAATTAAGAGAGAATAAAAAAAGAAACAGACAACAAAAGGTGGAAAGACCATCCATGTGCACACAGATGAAAATTTATCAGGTGAAAGTGGCTACATGTACAGAGAAGAACTTTATTAATAGGACCCAACATATGAGCAATAATCCCCATTAACTGACAAATGGGACTGTATTAAATTTAAAAGCTTCTATACAATATAGGAAACAAGTGGTATGAATAAACTGTTTATAGAATGGGGTAGAATATCTTATATATAAAAAGCAAACCACAAATCAGTCACTCAATAAATGGGTTACTGAACTCAATTTTCAGAGAATTATAATCACTGATCAGTTAAATCCAACTTTTAAAACTACATTAACAGCCCAGAGTAGTGTGTATGTCTTTAGTCCCATCACTTGGGAGGCAGAAGCAGGTGATCCACACGAGTTTGAGGCCAGCCTGATCTACAAGTGAATTCCAGGACTATACAGAGAAACCCTGTCTCAACAATATCACAGAAATATTCACACAACCATGTTTATGCTATACAATGCACAGGCAAGTACAGAAGTAACCTATATGATGAAAGGATAAAGAATAGGGGGCAAGCTGATGGTTAAGAGCACTGACCCCTCTTCCAGTCATCCTGAGTTCAATTCTTAGCAATCATATGTAATGAGATCTGCTGCCCTCTTCTGTCCTGCAGGCATACATGCAGACAGAACACTACATACATATTAAATAGATCTTTTTAAAAAAGGAATATTTGATATTTACTCATAATGAAATTTTATTCTACTGTAATGAAGAATGAGCAATGACATTTTCAGGAAAGTATATAAAAGTGAAGATCTTCACATTAAGTGTAATAAACCAAATGCAGACAAATGTGGCATGTTTTCTCTTACATCAAGAATCTCAACTCTCTTGAAAGAATGTGATTTGAAAGGGGGGAAGAGGTATGTATTTACAATACCATCTTAGCTTTACTGCTAGAGGCACACACAAAAAAAATCTCAATAGCATACAAGTTTTTTTTTTAATGTATTTATGTTTTTTACAAAGTCAGTTAACTTTGGCACTTATAAAAAATAAATTGGACCCATGCCAGAATAATCATGACATATGACTTTTATCTGGGCCTACATGGATTATTTGAACAATAAAATTGAGTACCTAACAACTAAAGCAACTTAACTTTGTTAAGAACTGTAGAATACCCTGAGTAAATTTTATTTCTTATTTTAGAGACGGAACATTGAAACAATCTTACTTTGTAGCCCAGGTCAACCTCAAATTCCTCACAATCCTCCTGCCTGAGCTTCTGAAGTGCTGGGACCTCAGGCATGAGCCATCATGCCCAGTAAGTTTCATTTCAAAAAAGAAATAAGGACTGGAGAGACGACTCAGTGGTTAAAGAGCACTGGCTGCTATAGCAGAGGACCCAGGTCCAGTTCCCACACCCACACACAGCTAACCACCACCTGGAACTCCAGTTCCAGGGGATCCAACTCCCTCTACTGGCCTTTGAGGATACTGAATTCATGTTGTGTAGACATACATGCAGACAAAACACCCATACATATTAAATACATTTTTAAAAAAGAAATCAGTCATCAAACAAATGCATCAAATGAGTATTATATTAACAACTAAAAACTTTGAAAAAAAACATAAAGGGAACTATTTCAACACAATTCCTTATCTTGCAGGAGTTGCAAATATGTAAGTTTCTTGAGTAGACTCAGGAGTTCAAATTTTTACTACTATTGGTAACTATGTTGGGACTGAACCTGATGTGTCACATAAGAACTGAAGAAAGTTTAAAGAAAAACCTACCTACACTTTTACTTTTACATTGCAGATATCTGCCTGTAAATATCAAAGTAAACCTCAAAACAAACAAGTATGATAAATGAAACAATGCATAAACCACTGAAAGAAAATCAGTCAACCAATTCTAATACTTAATAGTCATTTAAAAACATTAAGCTGCAAGTGCAACTTTTTAAAAGGAAAGAAAACTAGACAAGTACAACTTTAACGTGCTAGCTTTGTTTGCATTTATCTGCAAGTGAACATATGCTAAAGCACACTTGGTTTTCCTCTTTGACCATTTTGGTTGCAGGGACATTAGGCTTGGCAGCATATGCCTTTACTACCTGAGCCACCTTGCTGGACTGTCATTTTAATATGAAAACTATACATGGATTTCAATAAAGGATTTAAAACTCAGACCAATGCATCTAAGATAGAGTTCCAGCATTAGAAAAAAATAGTAATATAATCTGTTTCTATAAATCATTCCACTACAAAAGCACTGTGACAAAACTGTATCCAATGCTGTGATTCCTGCTGATGTGGACAAACCTTGCACACAACAGAAAACTATAAGGGAAGTACCAGTCTGAGCTACGTCTATTTTTCTAGTTTACACTGAACACCAAAGTAACAGCAAAGAAGCTTCTTTAGCTTCTTATGACCAGAAACTCCCTGAAGGATCCTGATGTCACACTTAATATGGTTTGCATGAACAGCATTACAAAACCCAGCTATTATCTCACGTATTTTACAATTAGAAAGTCAGAATAGAAACTTAAAATCTAGGAAGAGATGACACAAAGAGGAGATAACATTGGCCTAGATAACCTTCTATCACAACCTTAGAGCATTCAGGCATATCAACCTTTTGACACTGCAGCCCAATAGTTGTCATCAACACAGTAAACATTTGAATTACAGACAATTAAATTACAACAGAGGCAGGTGAGATGGTTCAGCAGGTAAAGTGGCTAGCCATGCAAGCCTAACAACTTCAGCTCAATCCCTGGAATTCATGTGCTATGAAAAAATAAATAAATATGGTGGTATTCATGTGTAATCAACCCACTCTTACAGGAGATGGGAAAGAATCACTCATTCAGTCTGCTATCCTGAAGTATGAAATGTGGCAACAAAGGACCCAATCCACAACATGGAAGGAGAGAACTGAGGGCCAAAATTGATCTACACACACACATACTGTGGTATATGAATGTAACACAGTCATATGACTGTGTACACACACTCAAAAATTAAAAATGACTTAAAAACCATAGTAAAAATCCCCAGAGTTTAAAGTAAACTTATGTTTTTGTGTTGTGTTTTAGTCAATCCTCAGTCTATGCTTAGAGACCACAAGCTAAACATGTACTTACACATCTGTTTCTCAAGCCACAGTGTATCTCCTAAGTGTACACATAAATAAGGACCTAACCTCTTGGTTCTGCTTCTAAAAGAAAAATAAACCAGCCACCAATGAAGTAAATGGTTCTCTGTATGTTTTACTTTTGGCTAGGAGAAAAACAACAACAACAAAATGTACAAAATCTTTGCCAAGTGTTCAGTTCTTTAGAGCTCACTCACTTTATAACCATCTTTAAAATTTTTTATCTTTTTACACTTGGAATATAATTTTACATTTAATCTCCAAAGAAATTCCAAATTCCAACTGTGTGAAAACAAGCAGCAGAAGTTCCATCCCAGTGAGTGAACTAACTCACCTGCACACCCACAGTTTTAATTGGCAGCAAGAAAGCGTTCAGTGAATGGAGACTCGTAATCTGCATGAGCTTCTCCTGGTCCTCTTCTGTTGTGCAGGCTTTGACTCTTTGTAACAGGGTATGAGGCTGAGAAAAGAAACAGACATTTTTTTTTTCACGTTGCAAGAAATAAGGCCTCTATAATCTTATGTACTTGTACCAATATTTTCATGAGCAGATCATGTAGTGTGTTCTTTGTGCTACATACTACACCAGAAATAGGATAAAAAATAGAAATTAAATTTACATATATTGAGATTTTTAGTTTTCTATCACCTATTTTTTATCTCTGTGCTCTTTTTCTCCCAGCTATTTATTTCTCCTTTATTAGTTTGAAGTTAGATCCTTGATTTCAACTCATACAGTTCCCTTTAAGTATTAATATGGACTCTGAAAAAGAATCAACCTTTCCATCCTTTTGTCAATACAAACATTTTTAATGCTTTATATTTTCTTAGTTTTTAAACAGTAATAAATAAGCCGGGATGAGGGGTGGGGCGCTCCTTTAACCCCAGAACTCAGGAGGCAGAGGAAGGTGGATCTCTGTGACTTCGAGGCCAGCTTGGTCTACAAAGCTACACAGAGAAACCCTGTCTTGAAAAACAAAAAACAAACAAAAAAAGTAATAAATACATTATTGTAGTTAACTATTTTATGAAGTCCAAGTTTGTGACCATATTACTCATAACTTTATTTGCTTATCAATACCTCTAGTACATTGAGTATCTTCTCTGTCAATGCTCTTCCTACAGCCAGTTCCTTGGGGGTATTTCTTAAGCAATTGACAAATCCCAGACTAACAATGTCAGAAATTCTAGTGCTGGGCAAGCATATACTTCAAAAGCTCTCTTACAGCCAGATGTAGCACACACCTGGAGTCCTAGCGCTCAGGAAAAGGAAGGAGAGGACCATGACTATATCTCATAAGATAATTAATATTTATATTTAGACTTTCTTGTCCTCTTTGCTACGAGAAAGACTAAATACTAGATGAAGGAGTAAATGCAGATAATGCACATGAATAATGAAAGAAGATATAAAGTTAACTGTTGGTCTCTAGTCCCCATAGAGAGCACCCTTGGAGCTCTGATACACCCCCAACCATCCCCACCGCCAGCCTACCCCCCCATACCCTGTGCCATACCCTACCCACGGTCCTGCAACTCTGGTTGAGCACTGGGACAGAGGGTGGAGCCAACAGTCCACCCTACTTCAGAGACTTCTCTGAGCAACCCTGAACAAAGGAGACCTGACTATCCACGTGGGACCACCTGTAATTTCCACCTGCTTGGTCTCTGACCCCACCTCCAGTCCTCTGCTGGAGTCCTGGTCCCCTCCCAGAGATCCGCCTATTGCTGCAGGACCACTGTGAGTACCTGCTCGCAACTTCTACTGGATCCTCATCCTTGACCCCATCCCTGGATCCCTGTCTGCAGAGAAACCTCCTAGAGAGCTTGGACCACACAGAGCTACAGATATTGAATCTCAGACCCAAATAGGCCCACCGGGGAAGTACCATAGAGATAGGGGGAGACCCCACCAACACCTACTGGAAGAAGCTATGGGAAGAAGGCAATACAAAAGAACACCAAACAACAGAAAGACAAGCATGACACCACCAGAATCTAGGGAATCTACACCAACTAGAATGGAACACAACAACAAAGCAGAGGAAGCAGAAGGGAACGACTTGAAAATTACCATCATAAAAATGATAGAGGCCAGGAAGCAGAAGGGAACGACTTAAAAATTACCATCATAAAAATGATAGAGGCCCTCAAAGAAGATGTGAGAAAATCACTTAAAGAAATGGTGGAAAAAACAAACAACAATGTGGAATAAATGAACAAATTCCTTAAGAAAAGTACAGAAAGCCAAGAACAATTAAGCAGGTGAAGGAAACAGTTCAAGACTTGAAAACTGAAATAGAGAAAATAAAGGCAACACAAACGGAAGGAATGCTGGAAATTGAAAAGCTGGGCCAATGACGGACACAAGCATAACCAACAGAATTCAAGAGATGAAAGAGAGAATCTCAGGCGAAGAAGATAAACTAGAAGAAATAATCCATCGACCAAAGAGAGTCATAAATCCAATAAATCCTTAACACAAAACATCCAGGAAATGTGGGACACCATGAAAAGGCCAAACCTAAGAATAATATGCATAGAGGAAGGTGAGGAAGCCCAGCTCAAAGGTGCCGAAAACATATTCAACGAAATCATCGAGGAAAACTTTCCAAATCTGAAGAAGGACATGCCCATGAAAGTACAAGAAGCATACCGAACGCCAAATAGGCTGAACCAAAGAAAAAAGACCCCTCGACATATAATAATCAAAACACCTAGCATACAAAATAAAGAAAGACTATTAAGAGCAGCGAAGGAAAAAGGACAGGTAACATATAAAGGCAGACCTATCAAAATTACACCTGACTTCTCCAAGGAAACCCTCAAAGCCAGAAGGTCCTGGATAGATGTTCAACAAGTATTAAGAGAACACAGATGCCAGCCTAGGCTACTATATCCAGCAAAACTCTCAATCACTATAGATGGAGAGAACAAGATATTTAATGACAAAACCAGATTTTCCCAATACGTATCTACAAATCCAGCCCTACAGAAAGTATTGGAAGGAAAACTCCAACCCAAGGAAGTTAACTACGCCCACAAAAATGTAGGCAACAGATAATCCAACTACACCAGAAACCAAGGGTGAAACAGAACTAATATATTCACAATACCACTGCCAACAACAAACCAAAATCAAACAAGCATCAACAATCAATGGTCCTTACTCACCCTCAACATTAATGGTCTTAACTCACCTATAAAAAGACACAGGCTAACAGAATAGATACGAAGACAGAATCCATCCTTCTGCTGCATACAAGAAACACATCTAAGCTTCAAAGACAGACATTACCTCAGGGTAAAGGGTTGGGAAAAGATTTTCCAATCAAATGGAAATAAGAAGCAAGCAGGCATAGCTATCCTAATATCTAACAAGTTAGACTTCAAACCAAAATTAGTCAAAAGAGATGAAGACGGTCATTTCATATTCATCGCAGGACAAATCCATCAACACAAAGTCTCAGTTCTGAACATCTATGCCCCTAATACAAAGTCACCCACATTCGTAAAAGAAACACTACTAAAACTCAAAGCTCATATAAAACCTCACACACTTATAGTGGGAGACTTCAATACACCACTCTCAACACTAGACAGGACCACAAATCAGAAACTAAACAAAGAAACAAAAGAATTAACAGAAGTTATGTCTCAACTGGGGTTAACAGACATCTATATAGGACATTCCACCCAAACACAAAAGAATATACCTTCTTCTCTGCTCCACATGGAACCTTCTCTAAAATCGACCACATACTAGGTGACATAACAAACCTCAACAGATACAAGAGAATAGGAATAGTACCCTGTATCTTATCGGACCACCATGCTTTAAAATTGGAATTCAACAACAACACAAATAGCAGAAAACCTGCAAACTCATGGAAACTGAACAATGTGCAATTGCACCACTCCTGGGTCAAAGAAGAAATAAAGAAAGAAATTAAGGACTTTCTAATATTCAACGAGAATGAGGATACAACATACCCTAACTTATGGGGCACCTTGAAAGCAGTGCTACATGGGAAGTTCATTGCACTAAGTGCCCATATGAAGAAAATAGAGGATAGTCACATAAGAGAATTAACAGCGCAACTGGAAGCCTTAGAACAGAGAGAAGCAAATTCACCCCATAGGAGTAGATGCCAGAAAGTAATCAACTTGAGGGCTGAAATCAACAAAATAGAAACCAGGAAAACAATACAAAAAAGAATACAATGGGGGAAGGACAGCATCTTCAACAAATGGTGCGGGCACAATTGGACGATGGTGTGTAGAAGACTGCAGATAGACCCATGTCTTTCACCATGCACAAAACTCAAGCCCATATGGATCAAAGACCTCAACATAAATCCAGCCACATTGAACCTCTTAGAAAAGAAATTAGGAGGTACCCTTGAACAAATTGCTATAGGCGACCGCTTCCTGAACAGAACTCCAGGGGCACAGACACTGAGAGAAACAATTAATAAATGGGACCTCTTCAAACTTACAAGCTTCTGTAAGGCAAAGGACACAGTGGACAAGACCAAACGGCAACCCACAGACTGGGAAAAGATTTTCACCAATCCTATATCCGACAAAGGGCTGATATCCAAAATATACAAAGAACTCAAGAAACTAGTCAACAAAACACCAAATAACCCTATTAAAAAATGGGGTACAGAACTGAAGAAAGAATTCTCAATAGAGGAAATCAAAAAGGCTGAAAGACACTTAAGAAAATGCTCCACATCCTTAGCTATCAGGGAAATGCAAATCAAAACAACTGTGAGATACCATCTTACCCCTGCCAGAATGGCTAAAATTAGAAACACCAGTGATGACTCATGCTGGAGAGGATGTGGAGAAAGGGGAACACTCCTCCACTGCTGGTGGGAGTGCAAACTCATACAGCCATTCTGGAGATCAGTATGGCAGTTCCTCAGGAAAATGGGAATTAGTTTACCACAGGACCCGGCAATCCCCCTCTTAGGCATATACCCAAAGGATTCACATCCATGCAACAAAGACATCTGTTCAACTATGTTCATAGCAGCACTATTTGTAATAGCAAGAACCTGGAAGCAACCTAGATGCCCCTCAATTGAAGAATGGTTAATGAAGATGTGGCATATCTACACAATGGAATACTACACTGCAGAAAAAAATGGTATCTTGAAATTCGCAGGCAAGTGGATGGCACTTGAAGAAACCATCCTGAATGAGGTAACCCAGTCACAAAAAGAGGAACACCGTATGTGCTCACTCATATATGGATTTTAGACCTAGATCAAAGGATCACCAGCCTATAATTCACACCACCAGAGGAACCAGGATACAAGGTGTATTCTAAGAGATTCATATAAAGTCCCTCACAGAACTGGGAAGGGACAAGTCCCCCAGAGCTCAGGGGAAGTGGGGCGGGGGGGGGGGGCAGCGAATGGAGAGAGAAGTAGGAGAAAACGAGGGGGAGGAAAGGAAAACATGTGCGACCAGGAAGATTGAGCCTGGTTAGGAATAGAAGACAGGAAAAGAGGGAGAGAGAGACAGAGACAGAACATAAAAGAGGGAGCCAATATTGGTTTGAAGATAAAACTGAACACAAAGAAAGGTCGAGAGAACTACAAGACTGCTCCCAACTAACAATTTGAGCTTCCGTGGTAAGGCTATCATAAATGCCCTTCCCGGAGAGTGAGATCAATAACTAACTTCTCCATGGAGCCCTCAACTAATGCCTGTTGAAAACAGGATCAAACACCCATACATAAACACTGAGTCGAACTAGAACCCAGATGCAGATGGAGAGGACAAGACCAGGCGGCAGAAACACATAGAGACAGCTTACCTGAACAAGAAGGAGCTAATGGGCCACCAGACTGATAGCTGGGAAGCCAGCATGGGACTGACTCAGCCCCCCCGAATATGTTTCTCAGCCAGAAGGACTGAGCAGTCTAAGAGACCTCAGACAGTGGAGCCAGGATGTATCCCTGGTGCACAAATGTGCGAACACATTTCCCATGGAGGGATAACTGCCTTAATCTAGAGACAGGAGAGAAGCCCTAGTCCCTACTTCACATGACCTGTCAGATCTACATGACCCCAACTGGATGGCATTCCCCTACATATGAATTGGGGTGGGGGATGGGAGGGGAGGGTGGTTAGAGTGCATGTGAGAAGGCAGAGAGGGTAAACGGGAGGGAAGGAGGAAGGGAGGGAGACGGAACTGGGATTGACATGTAAAACAATAAATTAAATATAAAAAATGCTCTGACTCAAAAATTTAAGTTCAAAGACAAGTTACTGGGGAAAAGGATTTCTATTTTTGTTTCCACAGAAAATGAAAAGATGTGGATTCCTTCCAGACTAATGTGGTTTGATCATGCCAGACCGCCTGAAACAGAGTACAAGCTGATCCTACATTCAAAACAGCTGGACAAAGCAGCCTTACAGACTACAGCCAGGATTTCTGAATCTTCTTCGAAATCCCCCATGATAGCTCCCCTTACCAGCAGGAAGTAGTTTGGAAAGAACAACGCCCAAATTCCCAAATATTGTGTATAAATGTTTGTTTTCATTTAATTGGACTTTGTAATATAAAATAAATAAAAAAAAAGAAAATAAAATATTTTAAAAAAAATAAAGTTAACTGTTTTTCTAGATGTTCTGGACTTCATTTTGGGTGTTAGATAAGTGGCTAAAGCCACAACCTTAAAACAGATATTATAATTACACAGTTCACTCACTGAGGTATACAGACATTGGGTCTGATTACTTTCAGTGGATGATGTTCATTATTCCAAGTTTTTGTAATACAGATTTTAAAAGAAAAAAGGAATAAAAAGAGCAACAAAAAACAAAATCTCATCTCGTTCAAATTACTTCAAAACATTAGGAAAAAAACAGTGCCTTTAATTGCTCAAGTCAAGGTGTGCTGATAGTAAATGCTCTTATCTATACATGACTTTATTGCTCTAGTTCTTTAAGACAGCTTGGTGTGCACCATGGCCATCCCTCTAAACAATGAGTACCCTGGTTTTTTGTTGTTGTTTTCATTCTTCTCTCATGCAATACACCCCAACTTAAGTTTCACCTCCCTCCATTTCTCCCAGTCCTCCCACTACCCTCCCCTTGCCCACATCAACTCCTCCACCATTTCCCTTTAGAAAAGAACAGGCCTCCTCCCAGGTATATCATCTGTACAGAGCATAACAGGTTACAAACTGTCCTATCAGGGCTGGTCAAGGAGAAGGAAAAGGGTCCCAAAGAGCAATACAATATTTTGGTTAGACAGACAGATCCCACTAGTAGTCTCTGTGTCATACTTTCTACAGTTACTACAAGTATTGTTCTGAATTTTCAAACAAATAACTTCATTTTAAAACAAGAATATTAACAGCCATCTACTTTGTTCTTTGTATTGACCAGATATATCAAATAATTTATTACCTTCTTAACACTTGCAGAAAAATCAGCTACTATTTTCAAAATATTGTTGGTTTCAGGAAAGTCTTTACAAATATAAGGTTCTTCAGCACATATTACTCTGATTGCCAGACCAGGACCTACAAAATAATAACAATTTTGAACATAAAATTCATAATGAAATTTGAATTGAAAACTGAAAGTAACTCTAACACATAAAACCCTCTAAATGAACACAAGGTATTTAATTTTAATTGACTCCTAGCACTAAATTTCAAGGCTGAGAATGTTCTTTGGTAGAGCCAATGTTTAGCATGTACAAGGACCTAGGATTCAATCTCAAATGAAATCAAACAAATAAACACAGGCATTTCATTTTAAGTGTTGGTGTTAATTTCCCATCCCAATTGTCTAACTTATATAGTCTCACAAAAATTTTCCTCAGCAAGTATTTTAATTAACACAATATACGCCAATTTACTGAAAATCTCTTTATTAAGGGAATTTTCCATCATACATAAATTTAAAAAGAAATAATGAGCAACCTTGATTCATATGTTGTTTAAAATTTAGAAAACAAAAACATAAAACTGAAAATATTGCCTAATGCCAAGATATAATTCTAGTTACCAAATACAAAAGTCATTCATGGATGGATGGATGGATGGATGGATGGATGGCGGGGTGCAGAGACTGCTCAGCAGTTGAGAGCACTGTTGCTCTTTAGAGGACAGGGTTTCAGTTCCCAGCACCACAAATTCAGAGGCTAACTTATTCTGACTTCAGACACTTGGCACACCCATGGTGCACGTACATGTAGTCAAACCACACAAAAACAAAATAAATTTTACAAAAAACAGAAAGTATAAATAATAAAAAAAAAAACTTGAGATGCCTATAATCAAAATGAAAGCTATTAGTCTGCAGTCTCATTTCTAGTTTTAGAATAAACATCAAGATTAGTTTTTAAAGTAGCTGAAATGTTTTTGCCTAGCTAAAATGATGACCAAAGGCACAGGGCCAACTTCCACCTACCATCTTCTGTTGGTATATACTTAGGGACTGAAGATATTGAATTACTAGATTTTTACAACAATGGCTAATTATTTCTAAAACGGTTTATGAAGGCAGTTAGAGGTAAAACTCTAAAATAGTGCTTTCTGACTAACTTTTTAGAAAACTGCCTCACCCAGAAGTTTTCTCATCCATGAAACACAATAAAGTAAGGTTTTTCTGTGTGTGAGAGGATCAAGTAAAAGAGTACTTTAAGAATATCACTGAGCACTATGTGTTACAGTACTTCCAAACTACGAGGCTATTTTTTTTTTTCAGGGTCTCACTACATAGCCCTGGGTGGCCTACAACTTGGTATGTAAACCAGGTTATCCTCAACTCATAGAAATCTGCCTGCCTCTGCCTCCCAAGTGCAGGGACTGAAGAAATATGCCATCACGCTAGGGTACTACTATGTTTTTAATTAATTAGACCATTCTTCCACCACCTATTATAGAGAGCTAAACAGGTTTCTGTCTTAAACCATCTCAAAATAAAACAGATCAAGTGTCACAATGCTACCTTTAAATATCACTATTTTTTGCTACCTTTAAATATCACTATTTTTTCTGATACAATAAATAACAATTTAACACTTTCTTGATGTCCGTGAATTAGTAACATAGAACAAGCATAGTGCAAAGAGTGCTTCAATATGAAGGAAGAAGTTCTTGCATTCAAACAAGATGCTACATAAGAAAACTTAAGAGAGAGGATCTGGCAGTGGCTACATGAGAGGCTAAGGTAGGAGGAACACCTGAACCCAGGGTATCCAAGGCAACCTGGGAGAGGTGGGGGTGACAGGAACCTACCGTAAAGAGAACAAATTCTTTTTTAACGACCCTATCCTTAAAAGGAGGGAGAGGAAGAACACAAATTTTAATTCTCTCTTCTTTCCATGAAATAAATGATACATACACTATATATTGATGGGAGAGGTCATTCTGTTTCTCATACTGGTTAATGAATAAAGCACTGTTGGCCAATAGGAAAGGAAGACAGGAGGGACTAAGAGACAAGGAGGAAAGAGGAAGTAGGAAGGAGAGTCAAGATAGTCTGGAGAGAACAGAACCGCCATTCCTCCGATCTCGGTAAGACCACGTGGAAATACACAGAAATGGGTTAATAATTAGGATAGAGCTAGCTGATAAGAAACTAGTAACAGGCCAACAGGATTATATCAAATACAGAGTTTCTGTGTGTTAATTGGGGCTGGCGTGGCGGCGGGACAAGACCAGGTGGCGGGAAGAAAAACAGTACTCTTTACAATATATCATTTATGGTATAAAAACACTAGATCTACAACTAAGAATTATACAGAAATGTTATCAAAATATGTCTATGCTCTATCTCCTCATCTGGCAGCAATGTCATCTGCCAGACTCCCAGGAATCACACAGTATCTAAATACAAGACAGAAGAAAATGAGTCATATAATGATACAAACCCAGTAGACACTTCAAAGGATTTATTCCCTGTCATCCTTTCCCTTTTGTCATGTCACATAGTCCAGAAAAAGACAATTGACTCAGAATGGTCTGAACTGAATCCACCACAAGGTGTACAGACAAATAAAACCCAAGGGTGTTTTTACCTGGAAAAGGATGCCTGGAAACCAATTCTTCTGGCAGGTCAAGCTCTCTGCCTAAAATTCTCACTTCATCTTTATGAAAATCTTTCAGAGGTTCTATTACTTTTCCCTACAAGGAGAAAACAGGACCAATTAAAAATTGAACTTTTTCATTTAAAATATTTTCTCCAATGAGACTTAGAAGGTATAAGGTGAATATTTTTAGTGGCATTTATATTCTTTGTAAACAGATTTTAAAGTAAAAGCCTTGAAAGTTTTATAAACAAAAACCAATTCAGGGGTGAGAGAGATGGCTCACCAATGTACAGACATACATATAGACAGAATACCCAAACACATATAGAAAATCTCAAAAACACAGTATTTGGGAAACAACCCCCCACCCCCAAGCTCTCATCTATTTCTTATATAACACAAAACAATTGGAAAAATTAATGCTAGTGATTCATTTTCCCAAATGAGCTGGATACCTTTATTCCTAGCACTTGGAAGGCAAAAGAAGGCAAATCTCTGAGTTCTAGGCCAGCCTGATCTATAAAGAGAAACCCTGTCTAAAAGAAAAAATATAAAAACAAGGAAAAAAAGTTTTCTAAACAGTACCAAAAAAATGATGGATGGATATATACATATTGACAGATATATATATATATATATATATTGATCTGTCAAGGTATTTTGCCTGCATGTATGTACATGTACTAATTGCATGACCATCAAATCCCCTGGGACTGGAATTACAGAGGATTGTGAACTACCATGTGCATATTGGGAATTGAATTCCAGTCCTCTGGAAGCAGCCAAGTGCTCTTAATTGCTGAGCCATTTTCTCCAGCCCCAGGAAAAAATAATTCTAACTCATATCAAATTAAAACACAGTATATGAGCAAAGAGAAGACACTTGTATGATAGCACTGTATCAAGTATATAAGGTAGTCAAATAGAAATTTACTGTGAAGGGTGGTTGGTTATCAGGCTGTAGGGGAGGAACAAAGGGAAGGCATTTGATAGGAAGTGTGAATTCTGCAAGCAGAGCAGGTTACAGAATCTACCCAGAATCTCTACAAAGAGTCCACTAGTCTGCTCTAGATGATGGGATTTATTTTATGTTTTCTATAACATTTTTTTTAAAAAACCAGGTAAGTCTTGACAAGATATGAAAAAAGAAAACTTTTAAATCATTCCAGTGGGAATGTATAAACTCAGAATTTTGGACAACAGTCTACCAGGAAATCAAAATGTTGAAGTCATTACATATAATTTAAGAATTACTTTGTTTTTGAAACAAAGTAATCCTGGATTTTAACTTAGTATGTAGCTAAAGATGACCATGCAACTTTAGATCCTCCATCTAGACTTCCTGAGTGATGGGTTTACAGGGATGCAGCACTACACTATGCTATTCTAGCAATTCTATACCTAGGTATCCACCAGAAGAAAATGAATGTCTAGAAGAATTTGCAACTAGTATTTATACCATCATTTCTAACAGCCTAAATGGGAAATAAATGTCCACCAACTGAAAAATGTGAACACATATACATAACTGTTTGGCTGTAAAAAGGGAGGTTAGATTACATTATAAATGAACCTTGAAAATATATAAGTTAAGATACTAGCTTGACATGGTTGACCATGTCTATAACCATAGCATTCAGCAGGTAGAGGTTGGAGGGTCACCAAAGTCAGCCTTAGCTATATAATCAGTGAGACGCAGGAGATACATGAGACTATCTTTAAAAAAACAAAGCAAAAAGCCAATCATAAAAGACCACATGGTGTCTAAAACAAGGAAAACTACAGAAGCAGAAATTGGTGGTTTGCAAAGCATAGTGGCCTTTAATCCCAGCATGTGGAAGGCAGAGGCAGGCAGATCTCTAAATCTGAGGCCCACCTGACCTGCAATAGCAAGTCCCAGGTCAACCAGGGCTATATTCAAACACCACTTCTCCAAAATTAAATTAAAACAAAACTGGTGGACAGTTGTTGTCTAGAGTTGACAAGAGAAGATTGGGTAGAGTACAGTTAGAAAGAAAAATGACTGCTAATGAGCAGATGCACTGGGCTCCTTGTGAGAATAAGCATGTTCTGCAATTAGTGGTGATAGCTAGTTACCTTTGCAAGTACTGGGAAGGAGAAAGAAAGGACAGAGGAAAAGAGAAATGTTCCCTGTATACACATTATGGAAAAATTTCTCACAAGCCTTTACCTCTTCCCTCAGCTTTCTGATAAGCTCTGTGTCATTATGGTGGGTTTTGATGAGTTCAGCTTTGCCACTGGCCACAAGGGATGCACTTTCGATTAGATCAGGTCGTAAAGTGCCTTGGGCAAGAAAAACCTCCTCTGGCTTCAAACTCATTTCTCCAATTACTTCATTGGCAATCTGTTATCAATGAAAGCAGAACAGAACAGTCTTCTAAGAAATAATTTTTTCAACAAAGTTAATGAAATTTGAATCTTTGCAGTACCAACCAGAAAATTGGATCCATCAAACTAGGAAAACTAAATTTCTGAAAATACACATTGTGTGTGACTGAAAAATATGTGAATATTCCCTTCAGCACTCTCTGAAATATGGCCACTGGTAAACCCAGGAGAAGTGCAGGGCCAGCAAATAGCTAAAATGTCATCATAGTAACAAGCATGCTTTTTAAACCAAAATAGTTTCTGTCAGTAGGAAACAGACACACACACACACACACAAACACACTTTATGTGTATCTTAGCTAATTCTGTTGATATCATAAAAACACACTAAAATTCACATAAAACAATGAACATTGCACACATTAAAAGAAAGGTTCCTTAGCTAAGCATGGTGGTGCCTGCCTTTAATCCCAGCATTCGGGAGGCAGAGACAGGTGGATCTCTGTAAGTTTGAAGACAGCCTGGTCTATAAAGCAAGTTCCAGAACAGACAGAAATACACAGAGAAATCCTGTCTTGAAAACCAAAAGAGAAAGAAAGACAGGAAGGTACCTTAACAAAAGTATCACCGATGATTTTTCTTTTTTCCTCAGGACTTGTAGTCATATTTAATGTTTTGCTAATTCTTTTTCGTGGGGTCCTGTCTTCATCTGAGATTGGTAGAGTGGTTGTTCCATTGTAGAAAGAATGAGCAGCATTTATCACTGGGAGAGATGGGAGAAGTATTTCTTTACATCATAAACATATGAAGGCACAGAAAGAAAACCATGATAGACCCTTTGATATCCCTTATTTTGCCCCTGTGTTCAATAAATAACTAGCAATAAATCAGCAGTAAGAGTTCAGATCTGGACATACATTAAGAGAATCCTGTAACATTTAGATGAGGCTCAACACTGTCAATGGTCCTGGTTGCTTTGTCTGTTTAATGTTCCACTAGAACAAATGAACACCTTAGCAATATATATAGCCCCAAGACAGTTAAAAGCAGTGGCTCCTTCACAGAAACCAAACTTTTTCAAAGGCTGATAACCATACATTTAGAATGACCTGAATATCCCTTTATTTATTATTACACAAGAGCAAGAGATCATGCTAGTTCAATGGCAAAGTGTTTGCCTAAACAAGACCCTGAATTTAATTCCCAGTACTGTCAAATGGGAAGCAGTTGAGGAGTAAAAGCTATGACCCCTATTTAGTAATAGAACATAACTACTGATAGGCTTCCGTAAGTAGCCAGCTATTTTAATTAGGGTCCACCAAAGACCTGTAAGTCCTCTTAACCTAGTCAAGTTACCCTCAAGCTCCTTCCTGTCAACATATCAAATGCTTGTCCTGCCTCAGTCTCTTAAGTAGCTAGTATTACAGATACACACAATAAGCATGTCTGGCTACCTATAGACTTTTCTCTGTTTGAGCTTGTGTGCAAAACAACCTATATTTATAGAGGAGCTCAGATACTTACAAAAATAATACTATGAAATCAGGGAGAGAAGGGAGATTTTGAGAGGATAGGGAAGACAAACGAAAGAGGATAGAATGGTAGATGCAAAATGGTACAATAGTCAGTAAAATCTAAGTCTTATATTGAACACTTCTTGATACTACACTTAATCTTTATCAAAAGGCCAAGAAGTGACTGGGCCCTTTTTGAAACAGAGAACATTATACATGTGAAGGAAAAGGTATTTTATAGGTTTATAGGGAAAAGTAGGCTTGAAGAGATAATTCATGGTGTGGTATATAAGTAATACCTTTGACCTGAATTCCGAGCTTTTTGAGGGCCTCTTCAACAGACTGGCTTTCTCGTTTTCTCATAAATCCATTATCAATGTGTACAGCAATAACCTGATCTTGGTTCAAAGCACGATTCAGCAAAGCTGTACAAACAGTTGAATCTACACCACCACTAAGTAAAACCTGTAAATAAAATGAAGGGAAAAAAATCAAACAGGGTAAACAAACAAGAAATAAACACTGTCACCTTATATAAGTATTTAAAAGTGCTCCATAAAGATATGTAGAGTATTATTTTAAAGCTATGCATCATAAATGATGTAACACACTATATATGTATATGTATATATACACACACACACACACACACATATATATATCTTGTCAGTTGTCAAGGTTAAGCAACACAGCACTGGGTTCCAGTATTTCTGGCTTAAGTTTTAGAGCCCCAGGTGATGAACTGCTTACCAATACTTTTGATGTGCCTACTTTCTCTTTGATCTCTCGAATGCATTCAAGTTCTCGGTTCTGCACAGTAAAGGTCCCACTGCATCCAGCTACCTCAAACAGGAAATTCTTCAGTATTACTTTCCCATTTTCTGTAAGGCCAACTTCAGGGTGGAACTGTACACCATACAGCTTTTTAGATTCATTGGCTATACCTTCATGGAGAAAACAGCCACAAAACAATTTTATGTTGAAGAAACGACAACTAAGAGTCACAATTCCTCAGAATCTTTCTCCTATGTTAAAAGTACATGCCTTACTTCAACTTTTAATTACAGAGAAATATGTTGTCACAATCTTTATAAAGTATACAGCAAAAAAAAAATTAGCTGAAGGACAGGATTGAGATTATTTCACTAGATTCTCACTTCTCTACCATTACTTTGGTTTTCAACTCAGTCTTGGCTTCCACATATACTCGACAACCCCCAATTCCCAACATAAAACAAACAAACAAACAAACAAACTAAAAACCACACATCAAACTTTTCAGTATTTTCTATTATTTCCTTTTTGAGATTCATTAACTACAAATACAGATTGAACAACCCTATTCAGAAATGTTTGGGTCCAGAAGTGTTTAAGATGTCTAAGATTGAAACATTCCATTTTACAGGAAGTACCTTAAGCAGGAAGGTAAACAACTTCAACAGCTTCAGAAGTCCCTGAAATTTTGACCAGACTGACTAGACCAGCCATAATAAGCAATAAAATCAGTCCCTCCAAAATGGGAGAAGCTGAGCTGCAAAGAAGGCTGAGACCCGGCCAGCTGCCTGGAAGAAGCAGAAAACAACCCAGCTGCCTGGACAGATGTTTAGACAGTTTAGGAACCTAGAACAGACACTCTCCAACCTGCTGAGATGCCAACAAGTGTGCAGTGTGCTCCAGGTTCCCAGATTTATGAGGTGTCACCCATGCTGGGGTAGACTTTGGTGATGCAGCTGTTTAAGTCATTTCTGTTCCTGTAAGTAACCTCACTCATATTAATGTAGTAATAATCCAGTGAAACTTATGAGTTCACTAAACTGGACTTTGGTGTTATTTATACTTTGGTGTATCATGGATTCCCTATCTGTGGTAAGTAGAAATGCATGGTGTGTCTTATCAGAAAAAGTTTGTCACACACAAATAGTTTGGCATTAATTTTTGTATGAGACCCAAGTATAAACATAAAAGTCACTGATATGCATCATAGACAAATGGTCTAAAATAACACAGTATTTTAAGTGTACTTGCATTTTGACTGTAACTTGGATTTGGGGGCACTCAAAAAATTTGGAACTTGTGAATTCAAGTCAGTAATCAAATGGTTTTGGACTATTTCAGATATTCACATTAGGGATATTTGCTATTTGATTTCACCTACTTGACTATAGTGCTTAATGAATCATCTATCAAGCAACAGGTGCTGAGCTAGGGATTTCACATGGGCATTACTATTCATATTTAATGATCCATGCATCAAGAAATTCGCCTCAACTCTTAAGTAACTAACTCGTGCCTGGCAGTGTAGGACCCTGCATGAACCCCCTCCCCCCAGGCAGCCTGAGCAAGCCTGAAGCTGTTGGCTGGAACTCCTTGCCCCAAGGCTGTTGTTGGTACTCTTCCTGTTTTGATAAAACACACCTCGTGACTGACAGCACACACCTCATGGCAACACATACTTCGTGGGGAGGAGCTAAGCCTAAAATTCCTGTAATTTTCCACTGAGCTGTAAGTCAGTATTTAAACCCGTTCTTTCCCCTTAATAAATGGCATTCGGCATTTGGCATTCCGACATTGCCATTGAACAAATGACCAGCTGTCTTGTCTTTATTTCAATCTCTAGGCCTTCGCCCGATTAGTGGAACAGATCGTAGGGCGGGCACTACATGGCAGGCTCAAGATCAAAGCACTCCATACTTTATTTGGCTTTTGGGATACCACTCTCAGTTTACTTATTTCACTGTTTGCTACTTCTTATTCTTGGCTGCTCGTCCCTCTTCTCCTGGCCTACCTCTGCATGGAAGCCGTCTTCCTCATACACGCATGAATCGACATTCTAATGTTCCTAATGTTCCATTCTTAAGCTCATCTGTATACCTCCAGACTAGCTTTCTCCTCTGAAGGCACCCCTGTTTTGGTGTTTAACCCATCATCTTGAGTTTTGTGTGCAAACCTAAACTCCTGAGTTCTTTCCCATTAGGAAAACAGAAATTATACCCATCTGTTACTCGGGGGGAGGGGGGGTGTCCAGTATTTAAAACTTGATTGTTTTACCTTTGCTATTCCATACTCAATCCAGGAAACAAATCTTTTATCTATCCATTCAGAGCATTATCACAATCCTGCTCTACCATCCTGCTCTAAACTTCACCTTTTCTCCTCTGATCACCAGAATATACCACCTTCCTGTTTCTACTATGATCAGTCTATTTTTTTCCTCGCGGTAACATAATCCCATAATTAGATCATAACTATCCTTTATTCAGACCACCACTTACCCAGGAATAAAGCCAAAATTTTACAATCACTCAAAGCCTCCACTACCTCACTCTTGTGTCAGATTTACCCTTGCTCAAATTATGCATATTCTACTTGTGTTTCTCACTATAGTCCCAGCACAGGACCTCTGTTTGCCATTAACACTTCAAAACAGTAGCAACACTAATCACACTAAGGCTCACTACTTCTGCTTGCTTTTTGAAATAAGGAGACACCACCCACCCCTAGCTCAGTGGATTAGACACAAACCACACCCAAGCACCTGGTTTTTTATACACATGGTTATTTGCTGCTGTTTTTATGCCTGAGCCAGACAGCAGTCACTTTAATTTTTCTTTCCCACCATTCATACTTTCTTGGGCACATACACTGACACATGCATTTGTGAATAAATTAATTATTTTTAAATATTTTAAAGCACTATGTGACTTCTGAATAATTTCTACCATGTTGACAACAGCTAAGAAAAAATAAGAAAGAAAATAGCTCAGTGGGTAAAGGAGCATGATGCCAAACCTGACAAACTAAGTTCAATCAGTGGGATACAAATAGGGGGAGCAAGAACTTTAACAGGTCCTCTGACCCTCAAACACAATAAATCTGAAAATAAACATTTTAAATGAAAACTTATTTAAAAGTATCTCACATAGATTACGAAAGTATCTCATCATGATTACTCTTAAAATTTTTTTAGATGAAACTCCAAATTTAAAACTTTTACCTGCCACAATATTCCCAGAACGTGATACAACCTTGAATCCATCAGCTACTTTGTCTACACTGTCTCCATGTGTAAGTAAAACAATTTCTTCCTTCTGAAGACCCCTAAACATATAAAAACAAAGATTTTTCAAATGTACACATAAATACCTCAATAAGAACCATATCAACAAGTCATCGTACTAGCTAGTTTTATGGCAACATAAAACAAGTTAGAGTCATCAGAGAGGAGGGCACCTCAATTGAGAAAATGCCTCCATAAGGCTGGAGGCAAGCCTGTAGGGCATTTTCTTAATTAGTGATTAAGGGGGAGGCAGGGCAGCTTAATATGGACGGTGCCATCCCTGGGCTGGTTGTCCTGGGTTCTATAAGGCAACAGGCTGCACAAGACAAGAAATAAACAGCACTCCTCCATGGCTTCTACATCAGCTCCTGCCTCTAGGCCTCTGATCTGCATGTGTTCCTATTCTGATTTCCTTTGATCATGAACAGTGATGTGGGAGCCTAAGGTAAATAAACCCTTTCCTCCCTAAGTCTCTTTGTTCATAGTGTTTCATCACAGTAATAGTAACCCTAAGACAGTCATTTTGTTCAAAAATAGAAGTTTATTATATGGTAGCTTAAGAAAATTTAGGGGGCAAAAGTTACATAGCAATGCAACTGTTAGAATTTATACATATATTAAATTTATATGAACATTAAATTTATATATAAACTTATATAATTTATTTTTATATTTATATAAATAACATTTTTATAAGTAAAGCCAATAAAGGATTTTAGATCTCAAAGAGGGCAACTAAAATGGATAACGAGGGCTCACTCGGTAACTTAATGTAATCACAAGGATCTAAGTTCAAATCCCCAGTATCCACATAAAAAGCCAGTTGCAGCCACATGTGGATCTGGGACTCCTGTGGGTTAATGAAACAGGAAATGTCACAGGTATTTCTTGGCCTAGCTCCAGGTTCAGTCAGAGACCTTGGCTCAAGAGAATAAGGCAGAGAGCAGAGAGTAGGGTGTTCAATATTCTCCTTTGGCTTCTGTGCATGTGTGCATATACACACTATACAGACCATATACAGTGCCTATGCATGCACACACAAATACATACACACCTAAAATGATATTGATACTGTTATTCTGCAGCTATATGTACAGTAAAATGCAGGTTATTATGTAGCCAGTAAACAAGATTTTCAGATTAAATGTAAGAGATATGGGGCTGCAGTGACAGCTCTGTGGTTCAGAGCACTCACATCTCTTCAAGAGGATCCACATTTGGTTCCCAGTACCAACATTAGATGGCTCACAATCACTTATAGCACTACCTGTTCTTGTCTCAACAGGTAAGCACATACGCACACATACATACACACAGACAAACACAAACACACACATAGACACAAACACACACACACACACAAATAAATATAGCTTAAGAGCAAGAGGCATTGAAATCAAAACAATAGGATGAAAATCCTATAATCTCTCAAAGCAATTAGAAATGTACTGATTACTCAAAAAAAAAATACATTGCCTGATTGTTCACAAAACACCTAGAAATGAATACAACCAGAAGACAAGGTGGAGCTCTAGTACAAAAAAGAAACACAGTGTTTGAAGTGGTTGACCCCTATAACCCACATAGAAGTAAAAAATCAAATCCCAGCTATCCTCTAACAGCCACACATGCCCTATGTCATATACAAATACATACACATATATACATACATACATAAACATACACACATACACATATATACACACACAAGCACAAAAATAACAAAAATTTAATATATACTTATATAAATAAAATATATGGGATTAAGAAGATAGCTGGGTTGAAAAAGGCATTTGCCACCAAGCCTAATGAAGGTGGGAACCAACTCCCAAAAGCTGTTCTCTTCTGATACACACACATCATGGCATACATGTATAAGTCGACACAAAAATTAATGTAAGTAAAAATAATACCTAAACAATGAGCATGTGTTATCCATTGTAATATTAAAAACTCCATCTTCTCTAACACTTTTTTTATGCACAGTGCCTCCAAAAACTTTATTCATCATCTAGTGAAGAAAAAAAGATGAATGTTAATGAGTCAAAAGAATTTTGTATGCTAAAAATTATTCATATCCTTTGCTTTCAAAAATCTTTTTTTTGTAACATAAATATATCTGAGTACATAGTGTTTAATAAATGTAGGTAACTATAATCACTATTATAAAATTATTAAGAGGCATGAATTTACAGCAAATTTTGACAAGGAATTGGCCTGATATCAATTTCTGTTAAACACTGATAAGACTTTCCATTTGGTATACTTTAATCTACATTAGAAAGAGAAATTTCAGCCAGGTGTAGTAGCATGTCTTTAATCCCATCACTCAGGAGATAGACGCAACTGAAGTTATGTGGGTCCAAGCCATGCTTATTCTACATAATTGAGTTCCAGGATAGCATAGCTACATAGTGACACCCTGTCTCAAAAAGAAAGAGATATAAATTTCCCTCAGGTCAGAATTAATTTAAAACCACCTGCAAAGGTACTCCGAGAGTTAAAAAACCACAGCCGATAAGAACTATAGCATCAACACAGGAGTTCTATAAAGATGCCTAAAAGGCATGAAGGAAAAATATATGATCCACTTTGATAAAACAAGTTTGAATGGTTGAATTAAAGAAATGTCAGATGAGAGGCAAAACTAGACATTAGATAAGCAATGAAGTCTTGTATTTAATATAAAGGGCATCTAGGCATGGTGGAGCACATCTTTAAAACCAGCACTCGGGAGGCAAGGGCAGGTGGATTTCTCTAAATTTGTGACTAGCCTGGTCTACAAAACAAGTTCCAAGACAGCCAGGGTTGCTATGTAGAGAAACCCTGTCTGGTGGGCGCAAGGTGAGAGGATAATATTGCTACTACAAATAATAATATAAAGGACATGAACTTTATCTGTAAACCACAAAACTGGTCAGCTATGGTATGTATACTCAATCTGTTTTAACTTCCCCTGCAGTCAAAGAATAATCTTTACCCTTTCAATAGCTAGAAAAAATGCATTAAAAAAGAGTTAGGGCCAAAGAATCAAGAGTTCAAGGTCCTCTTAGCCACAAAGGAAAGGCTTTAAGGCCAGAATAAGCTCCATGAAAGCCTGTTTTTATAATATTTATTCTGTGTATTTGCTATAAAAACTTCTCCTTTCTTTTCCTTCATTACATGCTAAAGTCAAAAGGGAAAGCATAAGATGACAATTTATAGCTGGGAATGTTGGTGCATGCCTTTAATCTTAGCATTCAGGAAGTAGAGGAAGGCTGGTCAATATCTGTGAGTTCAAGGTCTACAGGGCAAGCACCAGGACAGCTAGAACTGTTACATAGAGAAATCCTGTCTCAAAGGGGAAAAAAGACAGTTTATAAACTGAACACATGAATCCATGGTTATATATCAATTTGGCTTTTCTTAAAACTTTTTTTTTTTATGTGTGAGTGTTTTGCCTGCATGCATGTATGTACCACATGCATTCCTGTGTCCTCGAAATTCAGAAGAGTGAGCAGATTTCCAGGAACTAGTTACTGCTGGTTTAAACCGTCATGTGGGTACTAGAACTCAAACCCAGGTGCTCTGCTCTTAACCACTTATCATCTCTCCAGCTTGACTATTCTTGACATAGAAAAAATACTTAAGACTACAAATAAAATTAACTGTAAACCAAGTTGCTGGGAACACCTGTGTGGAATTTGTAGTTAACTGAATCATTAGACACAGGAAGACCCACCTTAAATCCACTTGAGGTTGAAGACCCCTACACACACAAAATCTGGGCCCCACCTTCTCCTGGCAGCATAAAGCATAAAGGACAAGGAGAAAGAAATTTTTTTTCTTTGCCTGCTCACCTCTAGCATTAGAGCCTACTTCTTTGGGATTGTGTTATATACTAAAGTCCAGCTGAGACATCACATCCAGCCTCATGGACTGAACAACTACTAGATTCTCAGTCTTTCCACTGGGAAACAGTCATTGTTGGATTAGCTGGACCATAGTCTATAAGTCACTCTAAGAAACGCTTTGTCTCTCCCACTCCATATATATCCACTCTATCAGTTCTGTTCCTCTAGAGAACCCTGACTAATAGGGGGAAGGAGGGGTGAGAGGTTTTGGGTTTTTTTGTTTTTTTTTTTTTTTTAAGTGAAAATGTTACATACAGTACTCAAGAGGCTTCAGCAAGAGGACTTGTAGACAGTTTGGACTATGAAGCAAAAAGTTCTGTACCTAAGCAAGCAGAAAGAGGGAAGGAGAATAGAGGGAGAAAGGAAAGGAGAATGGAAAGGAAAGGGAAGGGAAAGGAGGCACATAAAATGTACTAATATGCAACTAATCATAATACATTATTAAAGGGTGCTTTCTGTTTCTAGATGACCCAATCAAGACAATGTTTAAATACTAAAATTCGATAATCTTTTGGACAATTTTTAAATTTTTATCTAGTTTATGTTTCTATTCCTTTAGAACTTGTGTAGTACAACTGATTTTTTTGATAAGTGAGATTTTAGCATGTTTTCACTTAATGACATCTGTTATCATAGTCAATGATATTGTACTTGTCTGGTAAATGACTACAATGGCCAATGAAGAACACAACGCCAAGTGAAACTCTCACTGTTCAAAAATGGACAGTAGTGGGACAGAGTAGAACACACATTCAATTCCAGAACTTAGGGAGGCAGAGGCAGGGGTATTTCTGAGTTCAAGGCTAACCAGGTTTATATAACAGGTTCTAGACTAGCCAGGACTACATTGTGAGACCCTATCTCAAATAAACAGATAGATACACAGACACACAGACAGATGGTGATTTGTTAAGAAGTCTAGTTACTTATAAACAGGTTTTCTTATAAGGTCAACTCCACCACAATATGTAGCAATTAATACACAGTAGTAATATGCCCAAATTATCTTAAAGAGATAGTGTTTAAATCACAAAAATAAAACATTGAGTCAACTCCCAAATTCAATTTGCAGCTGTACCTGCATGCCATAGCAAATTCCAAGTACAGGCTTGCCAATGGTAAATATTGCTGGATCAAACCAGGGCGCATCCTCTGCGTACACAGAATTAGGTCCTCCAGATATGATAATAGCCCTGTGGATTGAAAGGAGTCAGTACAGAATGTGACTGCTAATCTTTAATTAATATCCTCAACGTCTGTCCCATTTTGCACCATATGCCCAGTTCTTAAAGGTTAGCCCAATACTATCATCTAATTTAGCTAAGTTACAATTGGCGACAAAACATTCTGCATATTCTAAAAACCTAAAAATGTCTCAGGAATGGGACTACCATGAGAAATTCATGTTCACTGGTATTTCGGGGGGGGGGTTAAAAACTAAAGCTAACTTTTACTATTTGGTTTGTTTTGACTTGGAATTTTTTGATACAGTCCCACTGTTGCCAAAACTAACATACATGGAACTCACTATCTACCTCCTCAGCTTCATGAGTGCTGGGGAAATAGGCACACACTACCTCAAGTAGCTAGACATTAAGCATTTACTCCTGCATGACTATGAACAGCTACAATCAGAAACAAGCAAGCACTGTAATCCACAGCATTTCTGTAATCACAGCATCTGAGAAGATCGCCGTTGAATGCCAAACAGGCCTACAGAGGAGTACCTATTTTAGATAGCAGGGAAACAAAAAGCTGGAAGCTGGGGCACTATGAACCAAATGTACAAAATAATCTTAGCGACCGAGTACAGTTCAGTACTGTGACATATAAACGTTAGAGGAGAAAAAAAAGTTTAGGATAGCACTAGAACAGATATATAACCTAATTCCTAACAAAGATAAAGCCTAGTGCTTGCCCAGCTTATAAAAAGTCCTGGCACCAACAGAAGAGAACAGGCAGGGAGAAGGAGGCACACTTAATAATCAGGAACTCTAGGATCTCAATAGTGTTTAGATTTTTGTTTTTTAATTTCTGAATATTGTGTATGTGCAGGACGGGTGGGAGTTGCAGATACCATAGCACTTGTAGAAATCAGAAGCTAACACACAGAGTAGTTTTCTCCTTCTACCTTCATGTGAATTGCAGGAATGGAATCCAGATCACATCGGGACTGAATGGCAAGCACCTTTACCTGTTGTGTCATCTTGCAAGCTCCATATTTAAGTCTATTAGATAACCTCTAGAGCCGTAGTGAGACCCTGTCAACAAAACAATAAACACTGTGCCTGGGATCCTTCATTTTAGTCTATTCTTGTCTATTAAACAACTTCAGGCTATAAGAATCTTAGTAGTATTAAACAGAAAATAAATTTTAAGAAGACAGATTCAATAAGGGTAAAACCAATTATGAAAACCCTCAATAACTTTATTTAACCATACTCTGAGTTTTTAAATAACCAACAAGGTATATGTGTCATGCAGGTGAAGGTCATAAACAAAAAGTGGGTAACATGTTTGTCAGGATACAAAATTAACTAAAAGAACAGTCAAGCTGCGTGTGGTAGTACATGCCTTTAATCCCTGCCGTGAGAGGCAAGTGGATCTCTGTATGGTTTACATACTGAATTTAGAGATCATGTCTCTAAAACAAAAACAAAGAAACAAAAAAGAAATGGGCAAATATAACTTCCAGCAGAAAGGATCAAAGAAATAAAAGTCACAGTGATAAATACCTATGCCACTTCTACAGAAAAAAAAAAAAAAAAAATCCAAACAGGATATCTCCATCAAACCCTTCCACCAGGGGGCTCAGGGAACTATACAGAAAGATTGCAAGAGAGGATGAGTGTCACCAAGGAAACAGTATCTTCCAGATAGCAACAGGACTGGCACATATATGAACTCAGAGACTAAGGCAGCATGCACAGGTCCAAGCCAGATGGGGTCCCAGAGCTGAGAAGGGAAATGGACATTATTATCCCTGACCCTAGCCAGGAAGTTACCTCCAGTTGACAACCACTTGCAAAGGAAAACTGGAAGTTTCTCCAATGGTGGTATTCAAACCACACTGAAGGACAGGCTCCAAGCCCAGCAGTAGATGGCTGCACAAAATCATAATGCTTTATTCAGGCATTTTTAAAGTCTCATTAGTCTTTTGCTTGTAATATTATACTTTCCAGTTTTGTTTTATGGGTTTTGAGCTTTTTTGCGTCTGTGTCTCTTTGTTTCTTGTGCTTTTTCTTTCTTTTTTATTATTATTATTATTTTTAATGTTTTGTTTTTCCTAAAGAGAAAGGTGTAGAGTTGGATGGGAGGGGAGGTTTTTTGTTGTTGTTGTTGTTATTGGGGGGGCACTATGATCAGAATTTATTATGTGAAAAAAAATATTTTCAATACTTAATGAAAAAAGAAAGCAGCTTTGAGGACTTGAGAGATGGCTCAGCAAGTAAGAGCATTGGCTCTTAGGGAGTAAGGTTCAATTCCCAGCACCCACATTATGGCTCAGAACAATCTGTAACTCCAGTCCCAATGGATCTGATGCAGGAGCACCAGGAATGCACATGGTGCACTTACAAAAGGCAAACATCAGGCCGGGCCTTGGTAGTACACACCTTTAATCCCAGCACTCGGGAGGCAGAGGCAGGTGGATCTTTGTGAGTTCAAGGCCAGCCTGGGCTAGAGTGAGTGCCAGGCAGGACAGGCTCCAAAGCTATACAGGGAAACCCTGTCTCAAAAAACCAAAAAGACAAACATCTATACACAGAAAATAAACAAAAGGATATCCACTGGTAGTAAACAGCTGAATTCCCAGTAATACATAATAGCGCAGGAGGGTCATGAATAAAGGCCATTGGGTTAGAGGAAGAACTCTCTGGAGACCAAGACTGAGGATATAGCATATAAAATACTGAGTTTGGGGGCTGGAACCTCGAATAAAGAACATTGAAGTCTCTTCCAGAGGATCCTGGTTCAATTCCCAGTACCCACATGGCTGTTCAAAGCTGTATGTAACTATAATTCCAGAGCTACTGACACCTGACACAAACATACATGCAATGGATATAAAATTAAAACAAATTATATTTTAAAAAAGGACTGAGTTTTCTCCTGTCAAAATTTGACTATTCAACTAGTGTGGTGATGGTGGTGGTGGTGGTACACACCTTTAATCCCAGCACTAGGGAGGCAGAGGCAGGATCTCTGAGTTCTGGGCCAGACTGGTCTAGAGGGAGTTCCAGCACAATTAGGGCTACACAGAGAAACTCTGTCTTGGAAGAAAAAAAAAAAAAAACCGACTCCTGGGAAGGCTTTAAGAACTTGCCATACAAGCCTGGTGACCTGAATTCCTTCGATCACCATAGTCCAAGGGAAGAACCAACTATCTTTCAAACTTTTTCTGACCTCTATGTGCCTCAACTCAATAAATACACGATGAATAATAAGTAACTGAGCTAGGCCTAGGCCGAGGAACTGGGGTAGTAAACATTCACCCACAGGTCAGGAAGCCCTGTCCAAGAAAAGCCCCCAGAGAGACAACTGTGGAGAGTAGGAAAAACAGAAACAAGAACACATAGAAAAGAAGGGTGAAGGCTGACTCCAGCTATAAAGTATTTAAGGATGGCCAAGAGCAGATCTCACTGAGAATAACTATCAAGTTTGATAACTAAGCCAGAAGCCAGCAGGTAGATGAAACTCTGAAGCCACCTGCTATTCACTGCTGTTAAGTCCTATATTGAATCCTACTATAATGGCACTGGTGTTTGATAACCTCAACTGCAGCCCTCCAACAGGGTGATTAATTTACATACAGGAGGTCTTGAAAGTACAAATACAGACCCTTTGTCTGTACAAATCTCAATACAGTAGTTGTTCTCCACACTCAACACACCTGGAAGTCAGCCCTACCTTAGCTACCCTGGGAATATGAAGGGAGTCTGGGTAGGGAACAAAATGTGTGCAGCAGTCCTCTGGTATACAGAAGGAAACCCTGCATGGAGGAGAAAGGAGCAGTGGCAGGAAAATGGATAGAATTAGAACAAAGTATAATGATGCACATGTATAATGACGAAACTCACCAAGACAGGTATAGTGGTATATGCCTACAATCCTAGCACACTTGGACATGGACGCTTATAGAGGTATATTTCCACAAGTCTGGAGGCCGCCTACCCTACAGAGTAAGACTGTCTCAGTGCACACAAATAACATGCACAGCTCTATGGAAGAGCAACTACCTTGCATGTATACATTTCAATGCCAGCACCATAAACAAGCAGGCCAACAAAGTGCATTTAACCTTATTCTAAGGCTAGAATGCACAGGTATCAGTGGTGCATGCCCTTAATCCCAGCACTCCGGAGGCTGACAGGCAGATCCCTTTGAGTACAGAGTGAGTTCCAGGACACCAGGATAACCACACCTACACAGAGAAACCCTATCTTGGAGGGAAAAAAAAAAAAAAAAGAGGAAGAGGAAGAGACTAGAATGCCTTTACATTTAAAGTTACCTTTTCTAACTAGCAATTTCCTCTACTTCAGAAAACAAATCTCCAAATATAGTAAATATGTCTAAGAATCTTTAAGAATTCTTTTAACCATTTTTCAATTTAAAAAGAAAAATGTTTTTCAGAAAATTGCTGTTACAGCTCAGTGGTTAAAAGCACTTGCTGCTCTTCCAGAGGACATGGATTCAGTCACAGCACCACCCTGTGGCTCAAACCATCTGTCACTCCAGTTCCAGGAGACCTATCTACTTCTGGCCTCTGTAAGCATCAGGCATGAATGGAATGCTGGGTTGCTCTTCCCCCAGCTGTCCTTCCCTACATAATCCAAGCCATTTTGGTTATCTGCTCTTTTGGTCTATCCTTCACTTTCTTAACCAGTCTCTTGGCCCAAGCTGCCCCTCTCATTTAGCAGGCTCCTCTTCCCTGCCCACTCTCCTCACATTGTTACGGGTCATGTCCACTCTGGAATCTCCCAGGTATCCCTGCCAGTGGCTATGCTCTCCATGTATCTACAGTAAACTTTCTCTTCTACCAAACCTAGGAGCTGTCATGTCCTTCCTTTTTTGTTTTCATTCACCCACTGTAAAGGTCTAAGAGTCAATTAAGTACAGATAATACATTCACTTAGGGAAAAACCTACCTAGCACTAACCCATAGGAAAAGGCAGAACATTAGCTAAAGATTGAACCAAAACGCCTCATGTAACTTGGCTGTTTTGACCACTAGGGATATGAGCCACTTGAATTAGCCCTATTTGACTTAGAAATGTTTTGTCCTTTAGCAACCAGTTTTTCAGAGTTAGAAACAAAAGGGACATCCTGTATAAATACTTCCTCCCTTTCAGCTATTCTACCCAATTATTTGTACATTTTTCTTTTGATTAAATGCTACAGGGCCAATGAACAAATGACCACTAGAACCACATCTAACTCTTACCCACAAATCATATAAAATATAAACCTAGCTATATAATGAAACTCAAGGTAAACTCCCCAACATCATCGAAACAAACAAAAGAATTAAGACATCAAGTTAATCTTTTTCAGTGAAAGTATAAAAAAATTATTCCTTTTCAATTCCAAATCAAACCTATAGGAAATTTCTTTAAAAACTACTTTGAGTTTTTACAGAAAAATCCACAATGTCCAAGTAAACTAATCATAAAACATCAGTCAATAATGTGGTTTGATCACACCAGACCGCCTGAAACAGAGTACAAGCTGATCCTACATTCCAAACAGCTGGACAAAACAGCCCTACAGACTACAGCTAGGATATCTGAATCTTCTTCGAATCCCCCAAGACAGCGCCCCTTACCAGCAGGAAGTAGTTTGGAAAGAACGACACCCAAATTCCCAAATATTGTGTATAAATGTTTGTTTTCATTTAATTGGACTTTGTTATATAAAATTAAATAAAAAATACTCTATATGCAAAAAAAAAAAAAAAAAAAAAAAAAAACATCAGTCAAAGGCTACCGAAATCCTTGCTCCTTTATGGCGAAGGCTGGTGTTTCCAATGGGTAGATTTCAGACTGCACAAAGAGCTCCCGCACTCTGCGATCAATGACTTTTCCATACTGAGCCCCAGCATCCAGAATGACAACAGCTCCTTCATACTGGCGACAGCCATCCTTTAGGTCTCCTCCAGCATTTTCTGGCTACAAGTAAAAACAAACAGAAATTCTTATTTACAAAAGCTATTTTACTTATTAGGGCTAGTAAGATAGCTCAGCAGAAAAAGACTTGTAGCCAAGCTTGAGGACTTGAGTTTGATCCCTGAGGCCTACACAGCAGGAGAGAATCATTCCTACAAATTGTTCTCTGGGCTGGGAGGTAGTGGTGTACACCTTTAATCCCTCTGGAGGCAGAGGCAGGTGGAACTCTGTGAGTTCAAGGCCAGCCTGGTCTACAAAGTGAGTTTCAGGACAGCTAGAACTTCTACCCAGAGAAATCCTGTGTCAAAAAAAAAAAAAAAGAAAGAAAGAAAAGAAAAGAAAAAAAAAAAAAGAAAAGAAAAGAAAAAAGAAAACACACAACACACACATATAGAAACAAGAAGTTATGCATGCTGTGGCACTGTCACTGCCTCAACATACACAATACAATTTTGTTAATTATACCATCTTAAAAAAACAGAGGGTCATTGTTAGCTCCAAAATCACACAGAAATAAACTTGTTAACTATGTTGCAGGCAAACAGGCCTGTTCTGCTAGCAGCCTGTTATGCCAGCATTCATATTACTTGTGCCTCCTCTAGACAGTCAGTCATGATTGCCCCAATAGGCATGCCATTCCTCTGAGAAGCATATTAATGAGGTGGTTAAAACCTACCACTCAAGTTTAAATATGGCTACATTCACTTAAATTAAAATCTTTTGCAACAGACATATCTAACCTAGAACACTAATATATTTTTTTAAAATTTTTCAAACTTTTATCACTATCACGCAATAATTTTTAAGACTTCTAGAAAGTAATTTAGCTAAAAAGAGATGCTGTTTGGGTTCTACAGCCAACTTAACAAAACCTACAATCACCTGGGAAGAGAGAACCACAACTGCCTATATCTGATTTAGCCTGTCTGGCTTCTCTATTGGTCCATTGTCCAAGGGCTAATTCATGCAGGATGGCCCAGCCCACAGTAAGGATACCATCCATAACTAGGCAGATGGTCCTGGGGATAAAGAAAGCTAGCCAAACTTAAGTTTGGAAAGAAGCCAGGAAAGAAGCAAGCAACATTCCTCCTGGTTCTTGCCTTAACTTCCCTCAATGATAGATTGTCACTTACAGTGTAAACCGGACAGTGCTTTTTCCTTACCAAGTTGCCTGTGGTCAGAATACCTTATCACAGCAAGAGAAGGAAACTAGAACAAATGTTCTATGAAATATCTATCTGGAAAATAATGTAAAAGTAGGTAGAAAGGGCATGGATGCAACAAAATTTCCCATGTTCCAAAAATCAAGTTGATGATAAATCCAGTGTACTACTTATCTTGGGTTTTTTTTATTTATTTATTTATTTTTTTTTTTTGTTTTTTGGTTTTTTTTTATGTGTTTCAAATTCACCTATGGAAATGCTTTAAAAATATGCTTGTGTTCTGGAAATCCACTTGGGACTGCATTTACAATATGACCAAATCAGCTAGGCAGTGGTGGCAAACACCTTGAATCCCAGCACTCAGAAAACAGAAGCAGATGGATCTCTGTTGAGATGGAAGCCAGCCTGGTGTACACAGTACTGTTACAGACAGCAAGGGCTACACAGAGATACCCTGTCTTGGGACGCAGTGGAGAGTGCTGTTCCTTATCAGAACCGTAAAGCCAAAACCTTCCTGTAATGTCTATTTACTTGCTGCTCTTAGTAAAAAACCTGTGAATGAGCTAATTAATGGAACCGAGTGTAAAATGTATACAGTGTACTAAGTGGTCTTTTAAAAGAACCTCATCATTGGTCAGTGACTAAAGCACTTGCTACAAAAGCATGAGGACTTGAGTTTGGATCCCCAGAGCCCACAGCAACAAAAAACTAGAACAATGTATACTACCCAAGCCAAAAAGGGGCATTAGAAACTGGAGATAGTGGCAGTTTGTGAATTGTATGACGTGGGTGCAAGACACTGAACCGTTGACTACCAATTTTCCTATCCAACAGTTTTCAACAACTAAGGTAACTCAAAAAGAACAGCACCCAGTAGTGAAAGGAAGTTCTTTTCTCGTCAATCTCTGTATTATTCACACTCCTTTCAGACAAAGCAGTCATCAAGTTTGGTTTAATTAGATTTTCAAACTTATTTGCAACATACTGCAAAAACTCTTCTAGTTTATTATTCGGGGTGGCACAGGCCTTTAATTCCAGTACTTTGCAGATATACAGCAAATCTATAATGCCAACATTTTGTATAGTGGCAGATCATTAGTTTAAGGTCATCCTCAGCTACACAGTAATTTTGAGGCCAACCTAAGCACGAACCGGGACACAGCCACATAAAAGTCCTTTCTGGATCTAACTGAAGGATTATATTCTATCTTGGTGTGTTTTAGTGTATCCATATGACGCTAACTATAGGTGACAGCAACACAGTTGCTCATCTTATATAATGCATGGAGTAGCTTTAGGAAATAATGTTGGTAAGAAAAGACTAGACATTATATATCCAATTACAGTAAAAATATAGTACACGGGATCTGAGATCATTTCTTTACCTCCTTTACCAGAGTGCATAATGCATGGGCTTATATTACAATTATTTTAACAAATTACTATTTTTTAAAATTTCTGTATTTATTTAGTGTATGAGTATACACATACATGTACATGCCACAGTGCGTGTGAAGGTCAGAGGCTAACTTGTGGGAGTCAGTGGGCTCTAGAAATTTAAACATTTTTCCCATTGAGCCATCTCTCCAACCCTTAATATATTATTTTAGTTATAAAAAAAACAAAGGAGAGGCTAGAGAGTTGGCTCAGTAGTTAAGAATATTTGCTGCTCTGCCGGAGGGCCCCAGATGTAAGGGGCCCAAAGACTCACTAGGTTCTTCACTTGCACTTTTGTTTATAATTTCCCCTAATTTTTCAGACTACATCACTCATTCTTCACCATTCCCTATTATGTATGCCATCTGGCTTGACTTCAGTTAGACTTCTCTTGATATTTCCTTACCTTAGACACTGAGCGTGAGGCTTGTTTTGGCCACTGTCTTGACAGCAGAAGCAATACTGTGCTGAGCCCTCAGTAGTCTTAATGTTTACACTTGGTTCTTGTACTTTTGCCACCATTAAGGGAACATCAAGAATAGACAAGATAAAAAGAGGCTAGACAATGAAAGGTGGCACACATTTCTGAAGAAATAATGATAGTTTTAAGTTCCTTATTTTTGTGACTGCTAATTACCATTCCTGGTGCTATAGCTAAATGATGTCACAGTTAACATTAAAAATCATTACTTAGTGTAGTAGTACATACACATGAAGCCCTTGGTTTTATCCATAGCATTGTTTAAAAAATAAAAAGTATCAAATGCCTTTCTGAAAAGGATTTTGATTCTGCTTTTCATAATGGTATATACCAGAAATATACAGTTTAGTCAGAACTATACAAAATGTTAATCGTTAGCTCTGTGATCTCTTTTTTAATAATTTCTTTTTAAGGGTCTGGAGAGATGGTTTAGTAGTTAAGAACACCGGCTGCTCTTCCAGAGGACCCAAGTTCAATTCCCAGTGCCCATGTGGCAGATCATAACTGAATATAACTCTAGTTTCGGGAGATCAGACACCTTCCCACTTATACACATGCAGGCAAAACATGAATACAAATGAAATAAAAATTTATTTTTAAGATCATACTATTTGCCTCTTCCCATCCAGACCCTCCCATGTGTCCAACCCTTGTTCTCTTTCAAATTAGTGGTCTTTTTCTTTGTGTGTGTGTTCATCCCTAAGTATATGAATGCAATCTGCTTAGTCCATATATTATAATTTGTATGTACATGTTTTCAGGGCCAATTTGTATACTCTTCCCTAGGGAAGACTATTTCTCCTACATTCAGAATTCTTAGATGCCTGAGATTGAGGCATCATTAGTTAGCACACCTATTGGTGCTTTCACTGTTCAAGTCTTGTTCAGTTAATCATGTTGGTGAGACTTTTTGTGGGTGTAGCTTGTAACCTGGTCTTTAAGATATACATCACACTGAATTTTTTTTTCTTTTAATTTTTTTATGAGTGTTGCCTGCATAGATGTATGTATACCATGTGCATGCCTGGTGCCTGAGGTCAGAAGAGGATGGGATTTTAGCCAGTTGTGAGCTGCCATTGGATACTGGGACCAGCACACAGCTCCTCTAGAAGAGCAGCCAGAGGAAGCTATTCAGCACTGAGCCATATCTCCAGCCCCACTACACACTGATTCTTTAGCTTTGGACATTAAACTATATGCACACTTTCTTAATAAGAGACTAACTAGGAAAAGAAAGGTATCACAAAGAAGGAATCACTTAGAGGGACTATAACTTCTAGAGGTAAACCTAACAAATCCAAGAACGATATTCCACAGTGCATAAGGTGATAAGCCCAATAGATGACAGAGAAAATGTAACATTAAATAATTGAAAACAGCTTTTACTTCACTAAAAAAGGAAAAAAAAGAAAACCTAGGTGCTAGGAATGAGGTTTATCTGGTAGAGCTCTTGCCTGAAATGAAGAAACATGGATTCAATCTCCTGTACAGCATAATCCCCAATGGGGCATGAACAGAAGTTTGTGATGTACAGGGTGAGATGCAAGAGGCCTGGTCCTTCAAGGTCATCCTCAGCTTACAGCAGGTGTCTATCTTGGGCTACAATAAACCTTGTTTTAAAATAAAAACAAAATAAATTTTCAACCTTATTACATCCACAATCGACATGCTGAGATTATCAGCATGATCATCACCACACCTGTCTTCAAAGTTTGTGTTTTGTTTTTAAATCTAGTTTTAGCCAGGTATAGTGGTGAAACACTAAATAATCCTAGCACTTGGGAGGTGTAGGCAAGAACAGGAGTTCAAAGCTATCCTCAACTACAAATCCAGTCCATGCTAGTGAGACTCAGCCTAAAAAACCAAACAAACAAACCAAGGATGTCTTGCTATTTTTGCCAAAATGAGCATCTTTTAAGGACTATAACCTATATATCCCAACCTGGGAAATGGGAAGTATCAAAACCAATAACAGCTATCCTGACCAAGCAGTTCAACACTTGGCTTTAATCCAAAAGAAATGAATGCCTATATCCACAAAAACTAAGCACAAAAATCAAATAGCTATCAAATTGTGAATGGAGAAGACAAATTCTGAGGTATACATGCATTGTAAAAAGCAAAATAATAAAGAGGAATAGAGGCTAAGGAGATGGCTCAGTAGTTAAGAGCACTGGCTGTCCCTACACAGGACCCAGGTTCAAATCCCAGTACCTACATGGCAGCTCACAATCAGCTCCAACTCTAGTTTCAGGGGATCAACACCCTCTTCTGACTTCCATGATCACCAGGCATATGTGTGGTCTAGATATTCATGCAGGCAAAACACCCATACATATAAAAAAAAAAAAAAGACAACCACTGGCATGTAATATCCATCACCACATTTAACAATGCACTGTACTGAGTGACGGGAGCTACAACCACTACATGACTGATTCTTTAAGCAACACTACAAATAACTGCCAGCGTATGAGGGATCTTTGGAAGTGATGGAAATGTTTATATAAAATAACTGGGGTAGTAGTGATACACACTATAAAAACTCAACCCACATACTTAGAGATCTGTACAGGTTACTACATAATACATCTACTTTAAATAAACATAAAATTTTAAAAATTCCAAACTTATTACCTAACTCGCCAACCCAAAAGATGCTATCACAACCAATGACTGTCACCCCCCCAATCTTCAATGGCATTAGATAATGAAACTCTATGTCAGAGTCATTACCAGAGTCAATATTCAAATCTAATAGCCAGTTTGCTTGCTGCAAAATCACAATTCTGAGCTAAGGTTGTACCTGACTAGCATTTGCAAGACCTGGGGTTAGGGAGAGGATCAAGAGAAGGGGCTGAGAGAAAGGAGATGAGAAGCAGGGAAAACAAAAGAGGAAGATGTAGCTCAGTAGGCAGTACTTGTCTGCAATGTGAAAGGCCCTTTATTGGTCTAGCTTATACACATAGTAAAAAACCATAATTTGCTGAGCACCTATGGCCAGGAGTTGTTATCTGGGTAAAATCAGTACTGCTGTTGAATGTAAATAAATAACTCAAACGTGTTTTTAAAGACTTATTTAATATAGAACAATTATCCAGAGTAAAAAATCAGTTGGGTGGATTCACAGATCTGTAATCTCAACACTCAGGAAATGAAGGCTGGAGGAATTTAAGAATGACTTGAGATACATGAGATCCTCTCCCTTCATACACCATAGCCCCTCCAAAGTAAAATGTCTTCACAATTAATATCACAAGATAATGAGACACTGAAAGATAAAACACACACAAAATGAAAAGCAGCCAGGCAATGGCACAAGCCTTTAATCCCAACACCAGGGAGGCACAGGCAGGTGGATCTGAGTTCAAGGTCAGCCTGATCTACAGACAGAGTTGTGTTCCAGGACAGCCAGGACTACATAGTGAAATGCTGTCTCCAATAAAAGGGGGGGGGGGAGATGATGATAGAAGAAGGAGGAGGAGGAGGCAGGAGGAGGAGGAGGAGAAGAAAGAAGAAGAAGAAGAAGAAGAAGAAGAAGAAGAAGAAGAAGAAGAAGAAGAAGAAGAAGAAGAAGAAGAAGAAAGTTAACATATTCAAAGTTTGAGTTCCTGGATCATGTTCATGGATTTAAAAAAATTAAATCTACTGAATTATGATTGAATGGGCACATACCTACAAGAGATCATCCCCCCTTTTTTGGTGACAATTTGGCCCACTGCAAAGACACAGTCTCTGATTCATAGAGGGCCTTTTGGAACCTAAGCCTACATGGTGTTTTTGTTTGTTTTGTTTTTGTCTGTATCAAGTATATTAAAAAGTTATAAAAGGTAAACTGAGTGTTGTGGCTTACACTCCTAATCCCAGCCTAGCATTGAAGAGACTGGAGCTGGTGGGTTGTCATGATTTCCAAGCAAACCTGGACTACAGTGTGAAACCCTGTCTCCAAAACCACATACATTAGGGCTCAATAGATGCCTCCACCATTAAGAAGAGCATTGGCTGCTCTTCCAAAATATCTAGGCTCAGTTCCCAGAACCCACATGTGGCCCACAACCATCTATAATTCCAGTTCTGAGGATACAATACCCTCTTCTAGCTATTGGAACCAAACCTCCACGAAGGCAAAATACCAGTTTCTTAGCTTTCTAATGCTGTATGTGATAAGATATTATGACCAAAAGTGACTTGGAAAGGTAAGAGTTTATTTCCGTTTACAGTGGTAGTCCATTATCAGAGAAATAGGGGAGGAACCCCAAGGCAGGAATATGGAGGCCAGAAGTGAAGCAGAACCATAAATGAAGAATGCTTGCTCCCCATGTTGTCTTATACAACCAAGGACCATTGGATGGGGCTGGCACTGGCCACAAGGTGGGGGCCCTTCCACTTACATCAAAAAAAAAAAAAAAAAAATGCCCTATAGACTTGCCTACAGACAATTTGGGAGGGATTTTCTCAACTGAGTTCATCTTCCCAGATAACAAAAGGCCAACACCAGAACACACATTTACATAAAATAACAGAATTTTTAAGTTTTAAATCCAGGCTGGAGAGCCGAGCAGGCTCAGTGATTATGAGCACTGGCTGCTCCTCCAGAGGACCCAGGTTCGATTCTCAGAACCCATGTGGCAGCTCACAAGAGCCTGTAATTCCAGTTCAAGGCGATCTGGTGTCATTTTCTGGCCTCAACGGGCACACACATGCAGGTAGAACATTCATAAACATTTTAAAAGTTTGTGCATGTAGAGGAGGCTAGTCTTCAACTAACAATGGAAAGCGCTGGGATAACGTCTTCCACGGTTAATTCTAATTGCCCAGCTCAAGAATTACGTTAGGTGTTTTGGGTTTTGTTTTTCATTTTATTTTTTTAATTCCGTATAAGGGATTGTTTTGTTTTTCCAGACAACGTTTCTCTGTGTAACAGCCCTAGCTGTCCTGGAACTAGCTCTGTAGACCAGGCTCAGAGATCCTCCTGCCTCTACCTCTAAAGTGCTGGGATCAAAGGCGTGCACCACCAACGCCCAGCATAAGGGTGCATTCCTGTGTGTGCCATGTGCATGCAGTGTCCACAGGGGACAGAAGAGGGCGTTGGATCATTTGGGACTGGTGACCAAAATTCTTTTTAAAAGTTTTTAAAAATACACTCATACTATTCAGATAATTTGAAGACTGAAAATTTAACTTTCTGGTGTGGCTTAATTTCATGAAAATACTCTATCGTAGTATGTATTTTTCAAAGTTTGTAAAGTAGGTTGTAATTTTTTGATACTTCAACGGATTCAAGCACCTAAAGATGCTTTCTTCTCCTTAATTCCAAGGTTCAAAATTAAAGACAAATAAATGTACGTAAGTATATGATGAGATTAAGTCTTCAGAGCATAACAGGTGCCTTTAAGAATATAGATAGGAGCTACCGCACAATGTTTATTCATTTGTTCAATGCAGGTTTTGAACGATTACTAAGTATTAAACCGTCATTCAAGAAGCTGTGACACTTAAACTCCATTCATGGCTGTAGAACACGATCCCCACTCCAAAGTTTGGAATTTCATACACGCGAAAAGAAATTTAACCAGTTTCCTAAAGCTAGGCCACAACAACGCAGAGGGTGATGAACACCTCGCTAAAGTAAATCGCATTTCAACACTACAGTTTCCCGCTGACAAAACTGGCTGATGTCCAGGCCAAAGATGACTTTAACTCGGAAGGGAAAGGGGAGCCAATTCCGAGCCTGGGCGAGAAAGAGGTCTAATGAGGCTGGGAGTTGAAGGCGACGAGAAGCTCATCAACGGCCCAATGCTCTCGGTTTTGGCTTACGCACTTAGTCAACTTTTCCAGCACTCGTTGAGTCCCGGCTCGCAGAAGCGGGAAAACAGGTCCCCCAAAACTAGCACGTGAAAAAAGAGGCAGGGTGCGCAGTAACGGAACCTGCTCACACACTCTTCCCCTCTGAGGATGGCGGGAGAGCCGGGCGACGGAGCACACCTGGGACCAGGAGCAGAGGCTGCGGTCAGCAGGGCTCGCTAAGGCCCCACCGCAGCGGGAAACAGAGAGGCCCTCACCCAGGCGGGAGAAAAGACCACAGGCCCGCCAGCGTTATTGCCCCACGCGAGGCCTCGAGTCTGCCTTGCGGCTAAAGGCCCTCGGCGTCCCTAAGAACCGGGGCCCATGGCCAGGTTGCCTCCGAACTGGAGCTCGGCGCCCACGGCCGCAGGGGTCGCTCCCGCAGCTCGGATTTTCACACTACCAAAGCCAACAAGGCGCCTCCGATAGCGGGAAGCCGCGCCGCAGGCCGGGCTGCGACACGCCGAGCGCCGATGCCTCGGCCAAGGGACACGGACGGTCCCCTGGGTCTCTCACGCCTCCGGAGAGCGGCAGGGACCCCAATCACAGACTGACCTTGGAATCTCCGTTGCACAGGGCCATCGCGGCAGTCGCGGCGGGAAGACGTCGAAAGAATCGGCGCCGGCGCTAGAGAGGCCTGGAGGCGAGCAGCACTGCGCCGGGACCAGATAACCTCCGTAAGCGTGCAGCGTAGCAGCAGCTCGGAATGCTGAGGCAGCTCTCGAGCACAGCAGCAGCGAGCGCGACTCCCGCCTCCAGCTTCCGTCGCGCCGCCGCCAACCGGCCCGCCCTCGGAGGCGGGCCACCAAAGCCCCGCCCTTGCCGTCACCCAGGGAAGTGAGTCCGTCCCCCCACCCCCCACCCCGCCTACCCGAATGGAGGAGAGCGTTCGCCACGTGGCTGTCGCCTGGCTCGCCTTCTTGGAGGAACCCACGGCATTGCTTGGTTTTGTCACCAAGACTACAAGAGAAACACAGTCAGGAGGCCCTTTGCGGTGAAGGGCCACCTGACTTCAGTGGCAGCTAAAGGCTGGTGGCACAGAGGAACAGGCCTCCCGGGGCCTTCTTAGGTAGCCAGGACCCAGTTGCAGGACATAGGAGAGGCAAAGGTCTAAGTTCATCAGAAGGTCTACAGCGCCTGCAGGATTTCCAAAAAAGAAAGGAGTTTGAGAGCAGCACTTGATTGGCAGCTGCACAAACTGGCTGGTCCTGGAGCGCAGTATAGCAAACATAGCAAGCAGTGGTTTCATTAGGATTGTTCCAGGGGAGGAACTGTATGTAGTTCCTCCAGCTAGCCCCTTGACACCCATCTGGGCTAGTGTTACTTTTAAGTGGTTATCTGAAAGACTGAATCAGGGATGAGGGAAAACACTAAGTGTCCTGGCTCACTCCTGAATACCAACCAGCATCAGGGGAACTGAGTCAAGAGTTTGCTGCCCCAGCACCTTACCTCAAAAAACAAAACAAAACAAAAAAAAAAACCTTAGAATGATCATTTGTAGTGAAGACTTTCAACAACTACCCATCTATTATAAAACACTAACATTGCCCATGCTGTGCTGTCAGGCTTTAGCTCAGACATCAAGCAAACTGGAACCACTAGAACTTACTCTAACAGTATCTTGAGAATAGTGAAGGATTGTTCTCCCATCTTTTACAAACCAGAAAAATAATTTGCCACTCAAGTAGTCCTATTTCACTTACCTTTTTGTTTTGTTTTTGGTTTTGGTTGGGAAAATGAACAGTTGAATTTTCTAGTGCCATGATAACTGGGTTTTCTTAGTGGGTCTGAATCAACAGTGTAATTAACTATTGAACAGTTTCAACTTGTATGACATCTTACCACCACCACCACTCCAATCCCCTAGGAAGTGCAGTAGACCGATGTGATAACTGGCACAAAGGGTTGGCTATATATCATCTCAACTCAAATCTTGGTAAGCTGTAAGATACATTTAAATAATGGATTCACGATGTCAGCGGGGGTGGCTTAGTTTGTTTTGTTTTAAGAAACAGGGTGTCTCTGTGTATCCTTGGCTGTACTGGAACTCCCTGGCTCAATTTTTAACAATAAGCTATAGATTTCTTATAGAGTCTACCCTGTTGAAGAAATTACTATCTATTTACTAGCTTGCCTGGTTATTGTTGTTTTTCAAGAATGGATGGTAGCTAACCACCACTTTTGATCCCAAAAATCAAGAGGCTGAAGCAGGCACATCTAAATTCTAAGCCAGCCTGGTTTACAGAGTGAGTTCTAGGACAGCCAGGGCTACACAGGGCAACCTAGTTGGGGAAGGGGAGAAAAAGAAAGAAAAAAATGAATGGTGTTTGGCTGGAGAGATTACTTAGCAGGTAAAAACTACCCAAACATAAGGATCTGAATTCAAGACCCAGCATACACATAAAATACAGGTGTGGCCACATTCACCTATAAACCCAGAAATTCAGAGGACAAGAGATAAGAAAATCACATGGACTTGCTGCGGGCCACTAGCCTAGCCTCAGCCTCAGTGACAGAACCTGTCTCAAGAGAATAAGGTGGAGGTTGATAGAGAACACCCAACATCCTCCTATGACCTCTGTGCCCATAAACACTTGTGCAAATATACCACCACCCCCCACAGCACAATGAAATAAGAATTTAAAAAACATGGATGACTTGCAGAAGTCATATGTTATCATGCCCTAGTACTTGCTGAGGCATCCATGGAAGTTGGAAGTTGGCGTAGGCTACACAATGAGTTCCAAGATAGCCTGAGCTACAAAGAAAAAAAGAATAAGTAAATAAAAAAAATTTCAGAGCTCAGAGGGTCTTGACACCTCTTTTCTGAGCTCTAAATGCCTGTTATAGAGTGATGGTTAATCTTGGCTGTCAATTTAATGTGGTATTGAATCAAGTAAGAGGAATCAAGTAAGATCTAAGCTGCTGGGCACAAGTGTAATAGATTTTCTTGATCAGATTACTTGAAAGGGGAAGACCATTTTACATGTTAGCATCACATTCCCATGATACCCAGATAAAATGGAGGCCTAAGAGAAAAGTTTGCTTTCAGATTATTTGACTGTTCATTGCCTTCCAGTCTTGCTGAGTTCGTTTACCTGTTGTTGCTGCTATCACTCTTCTTTACTGCTGAACTCAGTGTTTTCAGCCTTCTAATGTGGACTGAAGACCAGTGGCTCTCCAGGAATCCTCTGAGTTCTCTAGGTAAGACTAGTAGTACCAAGCTATCTCAACAGCACTGAGGTATCTCAATAGCTACCATGTTCTCTGGCTCTCCAGGATGTAGACAGCCACTGCTCACTGACCCAGGCTACATCAGATAAGCCAGTCCATTAAGTTCCCTTTACTAGATATTCATTCTCAGTTCTAGTCTACTAGAGAGCCCTGACTAATACACTATGTAGTACTGGGGTCTGGTCATAGGGCCTCACACATACTAGGCTAGTCCTTTGCCACCAACCTCTATCCCCAGCACTCTTTTATTTTTTATTTTTACTTGGGTCTCACTAAGTTGCCCAGACAGGCATTGAACTTACTTTGTAGCCCAGGCTGGCCTTGACCTTGTGACCCTTCTGCCACAGCCTCCTAATTGGCTTCAGTTTGAGTCTTTCTCCACCAGCTAGCTGCAACTGAACACCAAACTAACTTTTTCATTAGGATGTAGAGATCTGGCAGCCACTAGCCTATTTGCATTGCAGCCAGCACTCTACCACTTCTCCCTCTCTCCTCCCCAAACATGCAAATAGCTTCAGTTTGAATATGTTCTTTCTTGATTCAGGCCTTTTGCACAAAATACCTTTTTCACTATATTGCCCTGGCTGACCTGGAACGTTCTATGTAGACCAAGCTGGCCAGCCTGGAGTACATAGTGAAGACACTGTCTCAGACAACAGAGAAAGAGAGGAAAGGAGAATTGCAGCAGGAGGTAGGTGTCAAAGATAGCTTTTATAATAGACTGTCAGTAATAAAAGCTGGAAATATTAGAGAAACATTTTTCAACTGTCACAATAATAATGATTTCAGACATGAAAGATCAATGGATGCTAAAATTAGTGAGTGAAAGATAAGAAGCAGTTTTACTTATACTATCTCAGAGTATCTCCCCACATAACAATCATTAATTATACAAGGTAAAATAGCAAGATTTTTGTCTTTGTTTTGTTTCTAAGACAGGGTTTCTCTGGGTAGCTTTGGAGCCTGTCCTGGAACTCAACTCTGTAGACAGGCTGGCTTCAAAGTCACAGAGATCTGCCTGCCTCTGCCTCCCAAGTGCTGGGATTAAAGGTGTTCGTGAGCCACGGCCTGGCCTTCTTTGTTGTTTTTGAGATATGGTCTCACTGTCAACCCTTGCTAGCCATGAACTAGACCCAATTTAACTACAGCAGCCTCCCAAGTGTGTATGCTACCACATCTGACAAAAATTTGCAACTTTAGAGGTTAAGTGATCCACATGAATTCACCAATAACAATAAATCAGTATCATGTGACACTTGATGGTCTAAGTGAGATGAGCACAGTATTATTACATTAATGATATTCTACCTAAAATGCATGAAAGAAATGGAAATCAAATTCAGGCACATTTCAAAAAATAACTGCCTTGTGATTGTATCCAGTTATCTATTTCTTTATGAAAATAACACCCTAAACCTAAAGGAATTTTTTTTTTCTACAATTAGGGTAGAGTTTATTCATCAGGAACAGTTTTCACCTGCTTTATTGTATCAGTTAGTACAGTCTAAAGGCTGGTTCTACTAGGCCTGAGATAGAGTAGCCCAAAGGTTGGGGCTTGGAATAATCTATTCCAAGGCTTTCTCACTCACTCCTTTGCCACCAGCTCTGGGAACATCCTCTGAGGGCTGGAACACTTTGACCCTTGGGGCATCTCCACCTCTCTGTGGCCTCTCTCAAACTGCTTAGGATAGCTGGATTTCCTCTACATCAGATCAGAATTCCCAGTGAGAGTACTCCTGGTAGAAGCTGTAGTCTTTTCTGATTTTCTTCTCTATTGGTATACCAAGGATGAAATCAAGGGTTTTGTAAGCAAACACTACACTGAGACACATGCCCAGCCCCTGTGTGGCCTTTTCTAATCTAGTAGTAGCTTACCCACAGAATTGTTTCTCTGCCATTTATTCACTGGATGAATCATAATCCTATCCCTTTTCTAACCTAGCAGTAGCTTGTAACACAGAATTGTTTCTCTGACATTTATTCACTGGATTAATCATAATCCTATCCCAGATCCATTTCTTATTGCCTTAAAACTATATGGTTTATGGAACCATGTAAAGCCCGGATAGTCAAAATGATCCTGAGCAAAAAATACCAGTGCTGGAGGAAGGAACTGCTATCCCAGAGCTCAAGAAATATTATAGAGTCACAGTAATAAAAAAAAAAAAGTAAACAAAAAAAAAAAAAAACAAAACAAAGCAATATGGTACTGGCACTAACACAGACATGTACACAATGGAACAAAATCAAAGACCCAAGCATGAGTTCATGTAACTACAGCCATCTGCTATTTAACAAAGTTGCCAAAAAGCATAATGGAGAAAAGATAGCATCTTCCACAAATGGTGCTAGGAAAACCAGATGTTCATATGGAAGAAAAATGTAATTAGACGCATATCTATCATTTTGCACAAAAACTAATTCCAAATGGATG